TCCGACAAAAAGCACAACAATAGCTTACGTCTCGTTCTGTTTATCCCTTTCCGCTGTTGTTTCGCCGGCTCTCTACCGTTTTCTTTATCGACAGTGAAACAAACGAAACTATTCCACTCCATTCCCGAAATGTTTTTCACTTTTTTAGCGAGAAAAACTCTTTGAGTAAAACTTTTCTCGTTGAATGCGTGCGAAGCGGCGCTGCAAGCTGCAGTAAAGGGCGGGAATTTTGGCTCGAAAAGTCTGTGGCTTCTGATTGGACGTATCATTTTTCTCGCACGTGAAAAAATATCGTTCGCGATTCTGATTGGACGTATCAATTTTTTCACGTGTGAAAACCATCGTTCGCTCCTCTGATTGGCTAGAACTAATTTGCGTACGAAGATTTACGACATAGCTTTTTGGTGAGTATTTCTCAGTATGTATACAATAAACATGAGGTCACTATATACACTTTATTCCTACACAATTAAACCTTATGAACTTTAAAGAGTGTCTGAATCCTGGTTCTCCTTCCTATTTTCATGACTCCTGAATACTATTTTCAGATTTTTAAATTGCGATTTTCCAAAAGTTAAATGAGGAACGATTTCCCTAAAACGATAATCTATATATTGTTTGAAATCTCGGTAATTTGTTATTTTTTCGTTGCGGGAAAATCGCGAAGACCCGAGGCGGGAGTGTAGCACTTTTAGGGAGGTGACAAATTTTTGTAGCATTTTAATACTGGAGTGCGCTCTCCACTTGTAACTAACTTTTCAATACAAAATTGCGGAAGAAAACATTACATTTCCTTGTTATGGATTTGTTCTATGTTTGTTCAATATATCGATTGATATAAGACGTCTGATACCAGACGTTTGCTTTTATATAACTGTTATGAGACGTCTGATAACAGTTATATAACATAACATATAACATCAGACGTCTTAGAACAGTTATATGACAGCAGACGTCTGATATCAGACATCTGACATTAACTGTTATCAAACGTCTTGTAACAGTTATATGACAGCAGACGTCTGATATCAGACATCTGACATTAACTGATACATCAGACGACTGCTGTAATATAACTGTTATAAAATATCTGATGTCATATCAGAGGTCTGATATCAGACAGCAAACATCATTGACATCAGACGTCTGAATTGTCAATATACTGTCGTCTGCAGACTATAGTCTGTAGACTGTAATTGACTATGTAGTCTGCAGAATATTGTCAATATACTGTCGTCTGCAGACTATAGTCTGTGGACTGTAATTGACAATAGTCTGCAGCGATGTCATTTGTCTGATATCAGACGTCTGATCTGATAACAGACGTCTGATGTCTGTTATGATGTCTGTCATATTAGATGTCTGATATCAGATATCAGACGGCTGATAACAGTTATAGAACAAACATATAACATCAGACATCTGATAACAGTTATATGACAGCAGACATCTGACGACTGTTGTAATATGTTATCAGACGTCTGATGTTATATGTTATGTTATATAACTTTTATCAGACATCTGAAGTCAGACGTCTGACTCTAGACGTGTAACATAACTAATATCAGATGTCTGATGTCATTTGTCTGATATCAGACATCTGATGTCATATCACATGTCTGATATCAGACATCAGACGTCTGATAACAGTTATAATATGATGTCGGATGTCTAAAGTCAGATGTAATGAATATAACACAACATATAATATCAGACGTCTGCTGTCATAATAACTGTTATCAGACATCTGATGTCATATCTGAAGTGTGATATCAGACATCTGACATGAGATGTCTGATATCAGACAACAAACATCATTGACATCAGATATCCGATATCAGACACCAAACATCAGACGTCTGATATCAGATATAGGACATGAGACATCAGACGTCTGATATCAGACATATGACATGAGACGTCTGAGAACAGTTATATGACAGCAGACGTCTGCTTTCATATAACTGTTATTAGACGTCTGATGTTATATCTTATGTTATATAACAGTTATCAGACGTCTGACATCATATAACTAGATGCAAGAACGCCTGGTTCTAAGACCCTTGGATTTAAGAATCCCATGTTGTAAGACCCCTGGTTGTCAGAACCCCTGGATGTAAGAACTCTTGGTTATAAGACCCCGGTTGTAAGAACCCCTGGATGTAAGAACTCTTGGTTGTAAGACCCCAGGCTGTAAGAACCCCTGCTTGTAAGACCCCTGGATTGAAGAACCCTTGGTTGTAAGAACTCCTAGGATGTAAGGATCCCAGGTTGTAACACCCCTGGATGTAAGAACCCCTGGTTGTAAAAACCCCTGCTTGTAAGATCCCTGAATGGAAGAATCCCTGCTTGTAAGAACCCCTAGATGTAAGAACCGCTGGTTCCAAGACCCCTGCATTGAAAAACCAATGGATGTAAGAACCACAGGTTGTAAGACCCCTAGATGTAAGAACCCCTCGTTGTAAGACCCCAGGATTAAAAAACCCCTGGTTGTAAGACCCCTGGATATAAAAACCCCTGGATGTAAGAACTCTTGGTTGTAAGACCCCTAGATGGAAAAACCAATGGATGTAAGAACTACTGGTTGTAAGACCCCTAGTTGTAAGAAGCCCAGGTTGTAAGACTTCTAGATGGAAAAACCCCTGGTTGTAAGAACTCCTGGATGCAAGAACTATTGGTTGTAAGACCCCTAGTTGTAAGCACCCCAGGTTGTAAGCCCTGGATGGAAAAACCCCTGGTTGTAAGAACTCCTGGATGTAAGAACCCCTGGTTGTAACACCTGTGGATATAAAAACCCCTGGCTGTAAGAAACCCTGGTTGTAAGAACCTCTGGCTGTAAGAACTCTTGGTTGTAACAAACGTGGTTAAAAGAACCCCTGTTTGTAAGACCCCTCAATATAACAACCCCTGGTTGTAAAACCCCGTGGATGGAAGAACCCCTTGTTGTAAGAACCCCTGGATGTAAGAACTCCTGGTTGTAAGATCCCTAGTTGTAAGAACTACTGGTTGTAAGACCCCTGGCTGTAAGAACCCCTGGATGGAAGAACCCCTGGTTGTAAGAACCCCTAGATGTAAGAAAGCCGGGTTCTAAGACCCTTGGATGTAAGAATCCAATGTTGTAAGACCCCTGGTTGTAAGAATCCCTGATTGTAAAAACCCCTGAATGTAAGAACCCCTGGTTGTAAGACCCCTGGATGTTAGAACTCCCGCATGTAAGAACTCTAGGTTGTAAGAGCCTTGGTTGTAAGACCCTGGCTGTAAGAACCCCTGGTTCTAAGACACCAGAATGGAAAAACCCCCAGTTGTAAGAAGTCCTGGATGTAAGAAAGGCAGCTTCTAAGACCCTTGGATGTAAGAATCCCATGTTGTAAGACCCCTGGTTGTAGGGACCCTGGTTGTAAGACCCCTGGCTGTAAGAACCCTTGGATGTAAGAACTCTTGGTTGCAAGAGCTGTGGTTAAAAGAACCCGTAGCTGTAAGACCCCTAAATGGAAGAACCCTGGATATAAGAACCCCTGGTTGTAAGACCCCTGGATGTAAGAACCCCTGGTGGTAAGAAACCCTGGATGTAAAAAACCCTAGTTGTTAACACCCCCCTGGTTGTAAGACCCCTAGATGTAAGACTCCTGGTTGTAAGACCCTGGTACAAGACCTTTGGATGCAAGAACCCCTGGTGTGAAGACTCGTGATTGTAAGGCTCCTGGTCGTCAGACCCTTGGTTGTAAGACTTCTGGTTGTAAGATAATTGCTATGATTTCATGCCCAAGTTTTTTTGAGAAAATAAAACAGTTTATCTATTGTAATGACAATGAAAAAAATTTACCAGCTAGTCTTTATTTTGACAAGTTACAATGTATACAAAGAACATCCTGTTATCAATTCTGCTCGAAAAATATCAGGCTGAGTTAATCCCCCAAGAGGAACACCACTAAGTGGCACGGATGAACAAATGATTCCCACTATCAAACACGTTAGAGACAATGCCTTCCCAAGAAGCCTAACAACTGTGGGAGATTAACATGTGGGATTTGTGTGGGGTCAGTGGAATTCTGAGACTTACACAAGCAGGACAGACAAAGAACAGGCTAATCCCGAGTTGTTCATGGAAGGTAATGGTACTGACTGTTCAAAGGGCACTTTCTTACAATTTTAATTGTACCTTATGGTGTATTTTGATAAATTTTCTCCCAACTGGGACAATCTTTCAAGATAAAACCATTTCCTTTGTTTACTAAATCACTTTCGTCAAAGAAATGTACCTTCACATGGGACGCCATTATTTCTTGACAGCACTGAATAAAAGTTTGTGGACCTCTTTGGAAACCAATTTCTGATTAATTCAAGCGTTTGATTGGTCTAAAAATAACGTTGGTGAAATTCACATATCCCAAGGGCTAGATTGGGTGTTTCCGTCTCTATCCCATTATGGCTGTTGTGTACATATATGATGTTAGCTTTGTTTATTTTCTTTGTTGATAGATTTCTTTATGTTTTACACACGACCCCAGAAGCTTGTATTTAATGTTAGTTTTTATTACATAAGTGGTGTATTGTGTCAAAATAAGGGTCTTCTTCTTCTCAAAAGTGGTACATGTATATAAAGAGGTGAGGGGTTTGACCTTGGAGGGGATCCTCTCTGTATAAAATGTTGTAGTAGCACCCTCCCCCCACTGGGTACAAGAGGCATGCCTCCACACTGGCAGATATCAGAGGTTTTTGAGGATAAATGGTACAAAAAATTGTCAAAATGGTGTGTTGATGATTATTTAGGAACGTGACATGGTCATTAACTTTTTCAAGTCATAAAGGTTCGAGAATACAACTTTTAATTATTAATATAATAATCCATTCTGTCTTATATAATACATCTACATTTTTACAGTAAAAAAACATAATTGTTGTAATCCACAAGTCACTACAAAACCACTCTTTGCCAGAGTCAAACAGGGGCCCATAACTAACATTATGCAATCCACACTAATCTCCAATAAACTGACATTCTACCTCCACTGCCCTGTCCTGCTGCTTTGTAATCTTTGAAGGCACTTTCTGGAACAGAGAAACCCCTCAGCAGGTATGTGGTTTTGGGTTGAACACACAGACACTACTGTATGTGCAAGTTGTTGAATGTTGATAGTCACAATGTGGTGAATACAAGATGCAAAACAGTAGTTTCCACAAAGACACTGTTTTGCACTGTCCAGAAACACACAAAGAGACAGAGGAATGATTTCTGAAGAATATGACCACCTAAAACAGGGACAAGTACTTAGTTCAGTAATATAAATCCTTAACAATGGCCAGTATCCAATGACAAAGCTTAAAAATGTACTTAATTCAAGCTCATTCTAAGGGCAAGAAGTGCTCAAGTGTTGCATCCTCGTCTAAGTCAGGAATGATTAAGTGACAGACGATCAAACAAGATTTCTTTTGTGAGCCCTAAACAATATTTATTTGTCCTGACAGTACAGGCTTACCAATAATGCTGAGAAACTGTTATATCATTAGTCAGTCTTTGGTAAAATCATTTTTTTTCAATTGGTTGTTAGATGTAGTGTCCAGTCACCCACTTCAGAACCTTATGTAGTGGGTGGCTTGTTACTAAGGAGGTAAACTCCACCTACACTACCCCTCCCCACCTGGTCAGGTTTTAGGGCACACGGAGAAATAAGAAACCATTTTAGGCTACACTTACTGTACTTTTATTGGCTAAGTTGTGATTCATAAATTACTTTTCCTAATACATGTAACGCATGCTAAGTCATTATCTACACGCTTATTGAATTATTGAATTAATTTATTTGGTTACAATACATGTACAAAGAAAACAACAACAAGTACTAAAGTACTAAAATAAAAATATTATTTTACCTGTGCTTTTTTACAGCAATCCCAGAACACTCCTGTAATGAGGGCACAGCTAATTTGTTGACAATGTTCCAGTTGTTTTGATGAAGAAATGGGTTCTCAGACACATCCACTGATTCCAGTTTTAGTTTAGATAAACTGTGGGGCAAAACTGTGAGCTGATTGTGACTTACACTGAGGAAGCGTAAACTTGACAGCTTTCCAATATTCACTGGTAGCATATGAAGCCGGTTTCTATCAAGTTTAAGATGAACAAGGTTTTTGAAGTTGGAAAAAGCTACAGGAAGCAGCTTGATTTCATTCTGGCTGAGATCTAACAGCCTCAAAGATGATGTTATTACTCCATTACACAGTGCTGTAGGAAACTCTCTAATCCTATTCCCATGTAGAACCAGTTCAGATAACGTTGACAGTCTCGCCATTCTGCATGGAATTTCCTTTAACTGGTTATTGGCAAAGTTTAAACATGCCAGACTTTTAATCTGTAATATGCGCGCCTCTATCCGCAGTAGTGCACAGTTGCTAATGGATAACTTGTTCAGGGTGCTTGGAAAAGGTTTTCCAAGGGGATAATCACTGCGTCTCGTGATTGTCATTTCAGTTTTAGGTTTTTCAATGTCTGATGCTTTGGCAGGTGTCAGACCCATCAGTTTCACCTTTTGTAGTTCCTTGTCTCCAAGTTTAAGAATGGACAGGAATGATTTGAGGCTTGATGGATCAGCCTAAAAAAGAAGTTTTCCACTCAAGTTTTGAACAAATTACCACTGCTTTCTACTTTTTCTGTGTAATTTTTCAGTTGCATGTAAAAGTAAACCAAGCCATGTTTCACTGTACAACAATATTATTATAATACTAGGGTATCTAAAAGATAGTAATGCTGCGGCACATTCTGTTGATACTGACATTAGTTAGGCAGTGGGACTTAAAAGAATCGAAAATGACATTGAATGTCCTATTTACATGTTGGAAAGTACCGGTACTAGAATAATTACTACCAGTCTATAGAAAGAACTCGCGGGAACGTTGTTTAGAAAATGATCAAGTGGTTATAACCCTGGTTTTCCCACAGTAAATTGTAGGAAATAATAAAAATTCAGATTGTTTATCCATATAATTAATATACGGTGCACGATATTTTCTCTGAAAACACAATACTTTTCTTGCTCTTTGTTGCACTTTATTAAGTAACAGTTATTTAGCTACATATTTATAGAAAACAATGACACAAAAAATGGAAAAAAAAAAGAAAGAAGGAGTAAAGAATTCGGTAGGACTTGAACCCTTCACCTTCGGCTCGACGCGACTACACCTAACCACTACACCACAGAGGCTGGTTACGTAATTGTTGGGAAAAGTCTTTCATTTTATTCCTTTTCCATGAAACTTCCGCCGGCAAGATCATCGCCAGCTGCATTAACCGAGATATTAACAGTGAAAAAACAATGCAAACGCATATTCCATGGCAATGAATAAATGAAAGAACATAATTATGCTTTTCAAAACGCCGATACACGTCCTCGTCGGCAAAGTAGGACAAAAAACATATGTTTGTTATATCGATTTCCGCTGTTATTTTGAAGCGAATGGTCAAAATTACATCCATTTTCGGCTCATACAGTTTCTTAAGAATAGCACTGCATGACATTTTCTCACTTTCACATCACCTTCTAGCAAGGCTCTTGAATTGAAATCCAATCCCCAAGTTAACCATCGTACTCATCCGAAAGACTCCTGCGTGTCTTAAAATTTGGTAAGACCTCTAACCGTGCTTTAGAAAATTTGCCACAAAGAAAACTCTGAGTCTGAGCAGCGAACGATGCACTCTAGCTCTCACCCACCCAACTTCCCCGTGCATGTTTTTATTTGAGTTGTTCATGGCGCAATATACTCTGGTTAAATGCAATGCATTGTGGTAAAAAGTGTGGTTAAATGCAATGCATTGTGGTAAAAAGTGATGAATTCGAGAATTCGTCGCCCCTTATATATGTCCTTTAAATCCTGATTATGTTGCTGCTCGCTCCCTTCGGTCGCTCCGCAGCAATAAATTTTGTGTACCATCAGAAGGCGAGATGTTTATTATTTTTACACCTCACAAAATGAGCCTGTGAAGCTAACAGTTGTCAGAACATGTTTCTAGTTGAGTTCATCATGAGTTCTGTACAGCTCAGGGGTGGTCAGTGTTCTGGGAGGCTTCACATTCATATCAAGTAAGGAACTCAGAAAATTAATAATTTTTCTTTGCGGCAACCCTCAGACTTTTTCTTTGTGACGTTGTGAAAAATACAACAAACTGTACAACATCTCTCTCAACAAAAGGAGTGGCATATAAATGGGAAATGCCCACCACCCTATTTTTGGACCAAACAGAGAGTCAAAGGGTCAAAAAGTATTTTTCTCAGTTGCAGGCCTTCCTTTTCTTCATACCTCCTCATGATGACACTCGAAATAGCTGCGAGGGAGACTACCCTAATACCTCAAGGACAGGACAACCAGTCCTTCTCCCTCTTCCACTTTCAGCAAGAAGCCCAAAAGTGACACTTCTTTTAATTTATTCACGTTCTTTTGTACAGTTTTAATCCAATCAGAAGGCAGCTGGAAACTATCCTCGACGTCTGATTGGTTAATGTCTGTATGAAAGGATCTGAATTAAGTAAATGAAGTCACACTTTTGGGTTCTTTAGCTTGCTGTAAAAATCTTGCAGCACTTGTTGCTGTCAACTCTCCCGGATAATCTGGGAGACTCCAGATTTTGGACTGTATCTCCCACTCTCCAGATTAGAGCCTGAAATCTCCTGGATAATCGTCAAGTTTGCTAGACTTTCCGGAATAAAATTTCATCTTTTTGGCGTTGTTTGAGCTATTTTACTGTTAACATCAATCATACACTCCAGTATGCCATTGTAATAAATTATAAGCAATAATGAAATTGATGGGAAGTAAACCAATCACATCTACATGTAGATCTACAGTCGGTAAAAATCGCCAGGACATCACACCGACCCGCTCAAATGTTACATGCCAACATCTCTTTCGAGCATTCTGTGTCATCGTAAATTTGTAGCGATGGGTATTAACTTTTTGCACAAATGTCGTCATGTGCTGTACGTTATGACGTCATCATCCCTTGTGTTAATAATAATAAATAATAAAAATGATATTTATATAGCGCCTTTTCTTTTCAGTGCTGAGCGTGGGGTTGACAGCCCTGAGCATTTTTGGATCATATCCTCGATTCTCATTCATTGTAATACCTGTTATGCAGAGACAAGGTAAGGAGAAATCATATGCTTTTACCTTGTTTATGAGCAGATCATGTGGAGGCTCTTTGAAACGAATTGTTGCTTTTCCTTTTTCGACGAACTTTGAGAAGACTTGCTGAAGATTTTCTTTGATCTATCGAGAAATCATAACGTTATTAAAGATCACTTGAAATACTAGCTTTAGATTAAATCAACGTTGTAAAAACCTTGTATCTTGCTCCATTTTTCTCTTTCGCAGTGCAAACCAGAAGAAACACGGTCTTCTCTGCAGTACCTCCAGCAATCTTGGAAGATTCTTTGCGCCCGATTGCCAAAGAAGCACGGGCCGGTTTGCTTGAATTTCGCATACTAAACGAAGGGCCTAATCGATTTACAATTGATACTTCACAATTTAGCCGCATTTTCCTCTCTCGTGGATCATTGAAAACTAAAAATTAATTTGACAGTGGGTGGCTTTCAAGAAACTGCTTTCGCTCTTGCCGCCGCCAAGTTTGATTGTACTCACGTGATTGATTCGAACCAATCATCGATGATCCTTTGGTGGAAATTTTCTTGAGCCTGCGATATGCTGGAGAAGCTGGGTTGACATTTCGGCTAATAAAGAATTTTTGCTTCTTTTTCCTATAAAATAGTGAGAAATGGCGAGCATTATTTCAACGCCAAGTACGGTATCTGTTCAGATTACGAGCTCAATGACTTCTTTTACATCTGAGAAGAGGCTGCAACGGGGCGATGCTATCTCTACTTTGAAGGTAAAGAAAGGAAACTTGTGATCATAAACTTAAGTTTAATTTTTTTTCTTGTAGGGAATTTTCTCATAGACATAATTTATTACAGTATTGGTCTTGCATTTCTTTTAAACAAGATAATCTGAACTGTCAGATTGATCAAGTGAACTGCTTCAATTGTCAAAGGGGTATAATACCATATATATCTCAATTTAGGAAGAATGGAACTAATCTGCATGTCATTCATGCATAATCAATCATACAGTCTGACACAAACCCACTCAAAAAGGTCATCAGTCCCTTTGTAGACTCAGCGGGAGTCACCTATGTTTACTTCAAAATCAAATATGAACTTATAAAACCATTGTGTGATCGTGTTAGAAACTTGCTAAAAACTATGTTATCTAATACTTCGGAAAACCGCTGAAGGTAATGACTACACTAATAACAGCAAAGGGCGACATTATTTCCCACTGAGCATTAGATAATATTTTACCAGTTATTGCAACACGATTGCATGACGGTTTAAATTTCCAACCGTGCACCCATCTTTCTCTGATTTGACCTTTTCAGCTTGGATGGTCCTGGAAGGAAGGTGGGGTCCCCTTCTTAGTGAACTTTGCACCCCTATGAGCACCCCTTCATCAATCTGCCCCTGTCTTCCACAGCGTCATTCCAGGTTAATTCTACAGTGTAGAAGTTCTGGCTATAATTAAGCAGCATATCCTTTGGCCAGTCTTGAGCTTGAGCCATCACAGACCTTGTCTTCATATTGTCTCAAACCTTTACTTATTTGAGGGTTAGCCTCCTTCCTAGATATTCCTTTGGCTCACCAAGCAATAATTTATGTGGCAAGTCTAAGGAATGTCTGTGAGTATCATATTTCCTTCAATAATAGCCAGGGGTGATTATTTTTTTCGCACCTAAAGGGGGCAATTTTTTTGAGAGAGGTGATTATTTCAAATATTGCTCAATGGAAGTCATGCCCTAAATATTAGTGCTATTTACTGATTCACCTCCAGCTCAAACCTCCAGCTCAAGCGAGCGATGCCAAACTCGCGTAAGTTTCAAGCAAAATGGTTTCCTGGTTTACTGCTGTAACAAACAAAGAAATTTCACTAATAATCCAGCAAGCTGTTCCCGAAATACATGAAGAAGGTGACAAAATTTGGTTTGGAAGCTTTAGCTTTGTTTGTTTTACTTGAATATATCGATGAAACCGGTGAAAAAGTTTTTAGTTTACAAATGTAAATTAAGTGTTGTATTACTTTATTTAGCTGACATGTTCATAATAAAGCTTAAAACTAAATTTAATAGTTTTTTACAGAATGGGTTCAAGTACAAAAAGAATTCATAACTCCTTTTGAAGAAATTCCCGAACAATAGGTAAACAAATTGCCTTCAAAAGTTTTATTTGTTGGGACGAAAATCATAAGGGCCGTTCGGTCATTTGCATGCCAAAATTGTGATAGTTGGTAGCAGTAAATGAGTGAAACACCATCCTTTTTGTGTTTAGTTATATCACTGTTTTATTATACCGGTATATTAAAACAATTATTCACCTCATTGTTGGTGGCTAGCAGTGGATGTAATATTTACCTTGCCACTTTGCGGCTCGGTAAATGCCACCACTAGCCACCTCCACTTCAGTAAATAATAATCTAGCATAATATTATCCAATTAAATAAAAAATGATCATACAAAATAAACTGAACATGCTCCAAAGTTGGTTCCTTGATTTATTTTTAATGTCATTATCCTTGGCATCGGAGCTTGAATTTGTCACTGATCAGTTTTCCTAGATCAGACTCCACTTCGTCTTGACAGGGAGGGGATAAAAGAAAGAGAAGATGGCAAGAGGGGTGTAGGGGCGATTATTTTAAATATTTTCGTCTAAGAGGGGCGATTATTTGAAGGAAGCGTTTAATTGAGGGATGGCTATTATTTGAGGGAATTCGGTAAGTAACTTTTAAGTAACCTAAATGTAGACTTAGCTCATTAGAATTGCTGCTATTTTGCCGGTTTTGTCACAAACATAAATGTAATGCTTTTAAGATAAATAAAGTAGGTATAACATTATAAGATTTACTTCTTTAGGGCAAACTGGAGTTAATAACAGGATGCTCAGCTGTGACAATGGAAGTTCAGTTACTAGACAAAGAAGGAAAGCTTTTATGTGTCCTTAACAACGATGATGCATTACTGGGTGCTTACCCAGTAGATGACAACATGAGACTACATGTATGTTTTATTTCTTGGTTATTCACTAGAGGTACAACGTGATGTTACATAATAATATTATTCTACTACATTGCATATCATCAATGTAAAAATTAGCAGGCAAGGATCCACACCAATTTCAATCATTTTACGAAAATGGGTCAAATCTTTCATAAATTAAAATATTTTAATAAATATATATTTTAAAGAAAAAAAATTTCCAAGTTAAAATCAGGCCAATATCCTGTCTGAATGGCACCGAAATCCAGGGAAGGTGAATTTGGGAATTTAAATCCAAAAATGTTCTGGGGGTGGGGGGTGCATGTCCCTGGTCCCCCCTAGAAGCTTGCACCTTCGGTGTTCGTTTAGGAAATCAGGCAGTATTTATTCTCTTTATCCGCACCAGACTAGTTAAAATCCCATGATACACACTTGGCCCCTTACATTGTGGCAATGATATAATTTGTTTTACATGATTGATCTAGGAGTATTAACAACAAAGTTAATGTTTAATGAGGTGCCAGTCTATTGCAGAGGAACGTTTAGTATTATTTTGATGCCTATATAACATCCATTGAGCAACAGACTGTATGGCAGTTTTAATGTGTCTGGCCTAGGTGGTATCAAAATTGACTGTCAGGCTTTCATGATTTCATAGTGAATCAATAAGCATGACATCAGGGACAAGATCACATGTCCAGTTGGAATGACACTGTTTTTCACTTTGCATCTAATATAAAGGTTGTCGACAAAGATCCTACAAAAAAGGTAGGACAATTTGAAGACTTATCAGCCGTGGAAAAATATGAGATGGACACAGAAGAATATGCAAAGAGAACTGGTTAGTGATTGATATTAATGTTTACTCCCAGATACACCCAGATTTATCACTTGTAATAGTTTAAATCATTGTTTACTTTTGAAAGTTTAATACATTATTCACATTGCACAAACATTTTATATGTGAGGCCTTAAATCAGGGTATGCTTTGGCTTTGTCAGTCACTTCTGAGATTGCCTGTTGCCTGGTACGTAAACAGAGTTGTCATTAAGATTTCAAGTTGCTGGGTAAATACAACAAGTAGGCAGTTTTTGGGGCTGTGTCGCCTGTCACTTCTACCCCTTGGAAGGCCTTATTTATGGTGCAAAAATCTTCTTCTATAGATTCAGTGAGGGCCTTCAAAGAAAGAAATAAGCTTGGCCAATTTAAGGAGAAAACTCCAGAGGAAATACAAAAAGAGAAGGAGAAAGCACAACAAGAGGAAGAAGCTGCGAAAGCAATCACTGTAGGTTCTCGATGCGAGGTCAAAGTTGCTAGTGCACCTCCCAGGAGGGGCGAGGTTATGTTTGTAGGTATGTAAACATAAAGTGTTCATGTCACCCCTAAAAAACCTTTAATACTCTAAGATAAATTGCATGAGCCCTGAAGCTCTAAACATTTGAAAATCAGTAAATTAATCAAACCCAGGAACTAGATAAGTAGTGCTGCTAAAAAGGGGTGGGAGCTTAGCTAGTACCCCTAGCCACCAAGCATGTCACCGATGTGAGAAATCCCTCGTGAGTGAGCTTTTTGTGATAAGCAAAGCAGCTTAGTGCAAAAAAAAAAAAAATGTCAGCTATGGTCTCTTAACATTAATATCAGGCCAATCACAGGTCTCATTTACAAGTAAGGAGACTGACTTTGGTAGTTCATTAGTCAGTCAAACAAAAGAGCGTTTCTTGATGTTTTAAAGTGTTGATGGACATGGTTGAGTCTGTTGCACTGAAACAAAGGAAAATACCGTTTAGAAGCTTTCATGCTGGTTATCTTTTGACCATACATAGGTTGCATTTTATTTACGACACTTTTTATGAACAGTCATTTCAGATGTTTCAACTGCGTGGTCATGTAAAAGAAGATGAAAAAGTTAAGGGTCAAAAAGTATTTTTCTCAGTTGCAGGCCTTCCTTTTCTTCATACCTCCTCATGATGACACTCGAAATAGCTGCGAGGGAGACTACCCTAATACCTCAAGGACAGGACAACCAGTCCTTCTCCCTCTCCCACTTTCAGCAAGGAGCCTAAAAGTGAAACTTCTTCTTATTTATTCACATTCTTTTGTACAGTTTTAATCCAATCAGAAGCTAGCTGGAAACCTCCTTGTCTTCTAATTGGTTAATGTATGAAAGGATGTGAATTAGTTATAAAAAGGTCACACTTTGGGGCTCTTTGGCTTGCTGTAAAAATCTTGCAGCACTCATTGCTGTCAACTCTAGCGGATAATCTGGGAGACTCCAGATTTTGGACCGTATCTCCCAGTCTCCAGAGTAGAGCCTGAAATCTCCTGGATAACTGCCAAAGTTTGCTAGACTTTCCGGAATAAAATTTCATCTTTTTGGCGTTATTTGAGCTATTTTACTGTTAACATCAATCATACACTCCAGTATTCCATTGTAATAAATTATAAGCAATAATGAAATTGGTGGGAAGTAAACCAATCACATCTACATGTAGATCTACAATCGGTAAAAATCGCCAGGACATCACACCGACCAGACCTTCAAATGTTAAATGCCAACATCTTTTTCGAGCGTTCTGTGGCATTGTGGCGATGGGAATCAAAGAGCATTAATTTTTTTGGACAGATGTCCTCATGTGCTGTACGTTATGACGTCATCATCCCTATGGGGTTGACAGCCTTGAGCACTGTTGGATCATATCCTCGATTCTCATTCATTGTAATGCCTGTTATGCAGAGACAAGGTAAGGAGAAATCACATGCTTTTACCTTGTTTATGAGCAGATCATGTGGAGGCTCTTTTAAACGAATTGTTGCTTTTCCTTTTTCGACGAACTTTGAGAAGACTTGCTGAAGATTTTCTTTGATCTATTGCGAAAGCATAACGTTATTAAAGATCACTTGAAACACTAGATTTAGATTAAATCAACGTTGTACAAACCTTGTATCTTGCTCCATTTTTCTCTTTCGCAGTGCAAACCAGAAGAAACACGGTCTTCTCAGCTGTACCTCCAGCAATCTTGGAAGATTCTTTGCGCCCGATTGCTAAAGAGGCACGGGCCGGTTTGCTTGAGTTTCGCATACTAAACGAAGGGCCTAATCGATTTACAATTGATACTTCACAATTTAGCCGCATTTTCCTCTCTCGTTGATCATTGAAAACTAAAAATTTGTCGGTGGCTTTCCAGAAAGCCAGAAACTGCCTTTCGCTCTTGCCGCCGCCAAGTTTGATTGTACTCACGTGATTGATTCGAACCAATCATCGATGATCCTTTGGCGGAAATTTTCTTGAGCCTGCGATATGCTTGAGAAGTTTGGAGAAGCTGCGGGTTGACATTTTGCTTCTTTTTCCTATAAAAATAGTGAGAAATGGCGAGCATTATTTCAACGCCAAGTACCGTATCTGTTCAGATTACGAGCTCAATGACTTCCTTTACATCTGAGAAGAGGCTGCAACGGGGCGATACTATCTCTACTTTGAAGGTAAAGAAAGGAAACTTGTGATTATAAACCTAAGTTTATTTTTTTTTCTTGTCGTGAATTTTCTCATAGACATAATTTATTACAGTATTGGTCTTGCATTTCTTTTAAACAAAATAATCTGAACTGTCAGATTGATCAAGTGAAGTGCTGCAATTGTCGAAGGGGTTTATCTCAATTTAGGAAGAATGGAACTAATCTGCATGTCATTCATGCATAATCAATCATACAGTCTGACACAAACCCACTCAAAAAGGTCATCAGTCCCTTTGTAGACTCAGCAGGAGTCACCAATGTCTACTTCAAAATCAAATATGAACTTGACCGATCAAACCATCGTGTGATCGTGTAAGAAACTTGCTAAAAATTATGTTATCTAATACTTCGAAAAACAGCTGAAGGTAATGACTACAGACTAATAACAGCCAAGCAGGGCAACGTTATTTCCCACTGAGCATTAGATAATATTTTATCAGTTATTGTAACATGATTGCATGACGGTTTAAATTTCCAACCGTGCATCCATCTTTCTCTGATTTGACCTTTTCAACCTGGATGGTCCTGGAAGGAGGAGGGGGAGGGGGGAGGGGTCACTTCTTAGTGAACTTTGCACCCCTATGAGCACCCCTTCATCAATCTGCCCCTGTCTTCCACAGCGTCATTCCAGGTTAATTCTACAATGTAGAAGGTCTGGCTATAAGCAGCATATCCTTTGGCCAGTCTTGAGCTTGAGCCATCACAGACCGTGTCTTCATATTGTCATATTGTCTCAAACCTTTACTTATTTGAGGGTTAGCCTCCCTCCTCGATATTCCTTTGGCTCACCAAGCAATAATTTATGTGGCAAGTCTAAGGAATGTCTGTGAGTATCATAATTCCTTGAATAATAGCCAGGGGCGATTATTATTTTTTTTGCTCGTAAATGGGGCCATTTTTTTTGAGAGAGGTGATTATTTCAAATATTGCTCAATGGAAGTCATGCGCTAAATATTAGTGCTATTCACTGATTCACCTCCAGCTCCTTCAAGTGAGGGATGCCAAACTTGCATAAGCTTCAAGCAAAATGGTTTCCTGATTTACTGCTGTAACAAACAAAGAAATTTCAATAACAATCCAGCAAGCTGTTCCCAAAATGCATGAAGAAGGTGACAAAATTTGGTTTGGAAGCTTTAGCTTTGTCTGTTTGACTTGAATCACAGGAAAAAATAATGGATTCCCATTTTTGGATATTTTAGGGTATTTAAAGAATACCCACAAAAATCCCAAATTTGGAAGAGTGAGACAAGTCCCAATCAGGGAACTTGGTTGGGAATTCCTTGGTTGGGACTTGTCTCACTTTGCCAAATTTGGGATTTTTATGGGTATTCTTTAAATACCCTAAAATATCCAGAAATGGGAATCTGTTATTTTTTCCTGTGAATTTATTGATGAGATCGGTGATAAAGTTTTTATTTTACAAATGTAAATTAAGTCTTGCTTTACTTTATTTCGCTGACATGTTCATAAAAAAGCCTAAAACTAAATTTAATAGCTTTTTTCCAGAACGGTTTCAGGTACAAAAAGAATTCGTAACTCCTTTTGAAGAAATTTCCAAACAATAGGTAAAAAAATTGCCTTCAAAAGTTTTATTTGTTGGGCAGAAATCATGAGGGCTGTTCGGTCATTCGCATGCCAAAAGTTGGTAGCAGTAAGTGAGTGAAACACCATCCTTTTTGTGTTTAGTTATATCACTGTTTTATTATACCGGTATATTAAAACAATTATTCACCTCATTGTCGGTGGCTAGCAGTGGATGTAATATTTACCTTGCCACTTTGCGGCTCGGTAAATACCACCACTAGCCACCTCCACTTCAGTAAATAATAATCTAGCATAATATTATCCCATTGAATAAAAAATGATCATACAAAATAAACTGAACATGCTCCAAAGTTGGTTCCTTGATTTATTTTTAATGTCATTATCCTTGGCATCGGAGCTTGAATTTGTCACTGATCAGTTTTCCTAGATCAGACTCCACTTCATCTTGAAAGGGAGGGGATAAAAGAAAGAGAAGATGGCAAGAGGAGTGCAGGGGCGATTATTTTAAATATTTTCGTCTAAGAGGGGCGATTATTTGAAGGAAGCATTTAATTGAGGGATGGCTATTATTTGAGGGAATTGGGTAAGTAACTTAAACCTAAATGTAGACTTAGCTCATTAGAATTGCTGCTATTTTGCCGGTTTTGTCACAAACATAAATGTAATGCTTTTAAGATAAATAAAGTAGGTATAACATTGTAACATTTACTTCTTTAGGGGAAACTGGAGTTAATAACAGGATGCTCAACTGTGACAATGGAAGTTCAGTTACTAGACAAAGAAGGAAAGCTTTTATGTGTCCTTGACAATGATGATGCATTACTAGGTGCTTACCCAGTAGATGACAACATGAGACTACATGTATGTTTTATTTGTTGTTTATTCACTGGAGGTACAACGTGATGTTACATAATAATATTATTGTACTACATTTTATATCATCAGTGTAAAATTAGCAGGCATGGATCCACACCAATTGCAACCACTTTACGCAAATGGGTCAAATGTTTCATAAATTGAAATATTTTAATAAATATATATCTTAAAGAAAAAAAAATTCCAAGTTAAAATCTGGCCACTATCCTGTCTGAATGGTACCAAAATCCAGGGACGGTGAATTTGGGAATTAAATCCAAAAATGTTCTGGGGGTGCGGGATGCATGTCACTGGTCCCCCGTAGAAGCTTGCACCTTCGGTGTTCGTTTAGGAAATCAGGCCGTATTTATTCTCTTTATCCGCACCTGACTAGGTAAAATCCCATGATACACACTTGGCCCCTTACATTGTGGCAATGATATAATTTGTTTTACATGATTGATCTAGGAGTATTAACAACAAAGTTAATGTTTAATGAGGTGCCAGTCTAGGAACGTTTAGTATTATTTTGATGCCTAAAAAACATCCATCGAGCGACAGACTGTATGGCAGTTTTAATGTGTCTGGCCTAGGTGGTATCAAAATTGACTGTCAGGCTTTCATGATTTCATAGTGAATCAATAAGCATGACATCAGGGACAAGATCACATGTCCAGTTGGAATGACACTGTTTTTCACTTTGCATCTAATATAAAGGTTGTGGACAAAGATCCTACAAAAAAGGTAGGACAATTTGAAGACTTATCAGCCGTGGAAAAATATGAGATGGACACAGAAGAATATGCAAAGAGAACTGGTTAGTGATTGATATTAATGCCTGTTGCCTGGTACGTAAACAGAGTAGTCATTAAGATTTCAAGTTGCTGGGTAAATACAACAAGTAGGCAGTTTTTGGGGCTATGTCACCTGTCACTTCTACCCCTTGGAAGGCCTTATTTATGGTGCAAAAATCTTCTTGTATAGATTCAGTGAGGGCCTTCAAAGAAAGAAATAAGCTTGGCCAATTTAAGGAGAAAACTCCAGAGGAAATACAAAAAGAGAAAGAGAAAGCACAACAAGAGGAAGAAGCTGCGAAAGCAATCACTGTTGGTTCTCGATGCGAGGTCAAAGTTGCTAGTGCACCTCCCAGGAGGGGCGAGGTTATGTTTGTAGGTATGTAAACATAAAGTGTTCATGTCACCCCTCGAAAACCTTTAATACTCTAAGATAAATTGCGTGAGCCCTGAAGCTCTAAACATTTGAAAATCAGTAAATTAATCAAACCCAGGAACTAGATCAGTGCTGCTTAAAAAAGGGGTGGGAGCTTAGCTAGTACCCCTAGCCACCAAGCATGTTGCAGATGTGAGAAATCCCTCATGAGTGAGCTTTTTGTGATAAGCAAAGCAGCTTAGTGCAAAAAAAAAAACAATGTCAGCTATGGTCTCTTAAAATTAATATCAGGCCAATCACAGGTCTCATTTACAAGTAAGGAGACTTACTTTGGTAGTTCATTAGTCAGTCACACAAAAGAGCGTTTCTTGATGTTTGATGGACATGGTTGAGTCTGTTGCACTGAAACAAAGGAAAGTACCGTTTAGAAGCTTTCATGCTGGTTATCTTTTGACCATACATAGGTTGCATTTTATTTACGACACTTTTTATGAACAGTCATTTCAGATGTTTCAACTGCGTGGTCATGTAAAAGAAGATGAAAAAGTTGATGAGACAACCTAAGTGAATGGTCTTGTGTTTGACTTTTTGTAGCACATGCTACAGTGTTTCAAACAATGCAAATCCTGAAATGATAATGTTTTGTTTCAGGAAAAACAAACTTCAAACCTGGCTGGTGGGTTGGTGTGAAATATGATGAGCCTGTTGGTAAAAATGACGGCAGGTAAGCAGATTTTCCATGATCATTGTATCCTACCAGGGTGTTTCTTTTACTTTCTGATATGTTTTATTAACCATGGTGAGAATAACTCATTCGGTAGAGGGCTTGATTGCAGAACGAGAGGTCACGGGTTCATCAGTCCCGGGGCCAGGCCAATAATCAGGATCTTAAAATAACTGAGAAATGAAGGTACTCCCTTTGCACTGCAAGTGGCTAGGACTTCGCATGGCCGGAATGACTACACAAAATGGTGGTCCCGTCTCCAGTAGGAGACATATCCCCAATATTTTGTAAATTCAAATAAAGTGTTTTTTTTTTAAAGTGAAGGGTGCCGTAGCTAGTTATAAGGCTGGTGGTCATTTGATAATAACTATTTTAATTTTGTTTGTGTGACAATTTTATACACTCTCATGGTGCATTCAGAGCAAACTTGAATAAACATGTAACAAAAACAACAACAACAAAAAAAGAGAAGAGCACAAAGGTGCAAGGGAATGGTGGTAGGGTGAATTACCCCCTCCCATGCTCTCAACATTAAATTTTTAGACTGAATGTGTCCACTTTGTGGGTTTATCAAATAATAATGTAGAAAGATGATTATACATTGTAGAGGTATGAACAATCTATTTTCCAAACAGTTTGATTAGTTCCATTGTATTTTCCAAAGATTTTTCAGTTTGTTTAAACTATTCTTTTTTTCCCCATCTTTTTGCATCAGATTATTGTTATTGTTTGTACGAACCTTTGCCCATGAATCACTTGTATATCATAAAGGTTCAAGTTATTGAAGTTCTAAGACAAGTTGATTGAAGTTATTTCTGTTTTTCTTTCAGTGTTGCTGGGAAAAGATACTTCACTTGTCCACCAAAATATGGCGGATTTATTAAACCAAAGGATGTAGCGGTGGGCGATTTCCCAGAAGAGGACTTGGGAATTGAAGAGGATGAAATGTAAAAACAAAAAGAAGGAAAGAAAAAAGGATGCTTATATTCTAATAAAGTGGATAAATTATTCAGAAACTGTGGAACTCCAAACACAGCAAACAGCTACTACTGTCAAACATCTATAAGATAGTGGCCACTTATTATAAGTGACTGTCTGTCAAAAATTCTAATATAATATTGAAAATTTTCCAAGTTAAAATAAGAAATTTGGAATCTTGTGTAACCAACCTGAACCAAGTTCCACGACATCTTTAATTCAAGCAACATTTGATGCCACACAGCTCTGGGAACAAGTCATAAGTTTTTTAATAGTATTATTTATTATAACGCACTTAACCGTAAAAATACAGAACTTTTTTAAGTTACCTAAAAAGCAAATTATTTCTCTACAAGCTGCAACAGAAAAACTGGAGAACAGAGACACTCAGTGGTGTACAATTCAAAGTAGACAGACTGCAAATTATATTAGTTAATGTTAGGCAAGCCAGCAATACACTTTTAAACACTATAAAGTTGATTGCTATGACTGAAGGCATATCAAGCTGTACTGATCAAGTGGAACCCTTATAACTATGGGGACTGGTAGAACGTTTTAACCTCGAGGCACATTATATTGGGGTTTAATATTCTACACATTTTACTGTAATAGGGTGGAAAATCAGTTGCTCCTCACACAGTGGTTTGTTATATTGAGGTTCCACTGTGTGTAGTAAAACAGCTTGTTTAATAAACTTCTCAATATTGCTTTTTAAAGTTATTTGGCACAACTAACACAAGTCTGGCCATCGCAACCAGTGATAAGTTAAACTTCTACATAACCTACTGTGAACTGTTTAAACCTCACCTGTCAATGTTCTAAAAATATTGAACAGAAATACAACCAGGACTGAGATTTTATCGCTGATGATAAAAATAGATAAGGGGCTGTTACCAAAACAGTCTGAATCAGCATTTTATCTATAGTTCAGTGGACAAAGATTTATTCAGTGGATAGTATTATGCAACTTGGAACAACTCAGCCCCAATGGCACAATTCAACTTTTGAGCAATTAAGTCAGGGTGGATAGCGCCATACAACTTTTTAAAATAACTAAGCCATCCTTGCATGCTGATTGGTCAAGAGCTATGTTCAATAAGAGTGAAGACCATGGAAATGATGTTATGGTGGCACAATTGTTTTTCTCTTTCTTGTGTGTGTGTGATTTGCTGAGAACCGTCAATGGAAATGGACATCAAAACGGTCAATGTTATTTTAAAAAACAAATTGACAACAATTTTCAAGGTCTGTACTCTCATTGACGATAGAAATGATGTCAAAAAGTTCAAAATTTTGCAGTGAAACCACTCGCCTATGACTCGTCATTCCACTTGAGTTATGAACAATTTGACGGCATTTCTAGGGTTGATAAGAGTACAAACCATGAAAAATTGTTGTCAATTTGTTAATATGAATGACAGAGACTGGAAGTCCAAAACTCATGACCCTACGTTTCAGAGACACACACCCATGTGTATGAGGGAGTTCTCCTTCCTGGGCCTACATTAGGATTACAATCCCCTAGCTATAACCCAGCTGTTGGTATTGTTTTGCTGCTGTGCTTCTTGGCAAGTTCTCAGCTGTTAACATTCGACTCCAAACTTATCAAAATTTCTTGTTATCACACCCAGTTGCAAATGTACTGTTCCCATAGCAACTGTTCTTAGTTTATATCTATCCGCACCAGTGTAGATAGCGTCTGAAGTTTTTAACTGAGGAGCTCCGCCTACGAAAAAACTCCGAAGTTGTTCGAATTTCCCCGAACACAAAGGTCTCCAAGTAACGCAATCCACGTTGTGTGTCCCGGGAGAAGTAGGAACATGACAGTATCCATACCCGTAAATCTCGTTTCTACCATAAGAATCCTGATGCCAGACTTGAAAGTGGAATTTAGGCCATCCTTTGAGTCCCTTTGTAGCAAAATGCAAGTCTATAGGGTGACACCACTTTGCGCATTCCTCGTTTTGCGGATTGTCAACTTGTGTCTGGCCTTCTTTCTGTCCCGCTAAAAGTTTCCATAATCCATCAACATGGACAGACCATTTGCAGTATAAATTATGCGATGGAAAACCACTGGCACCGATAATTTCGCCAATAACATGAACTTCCGCCATTACCGAAACTGAACGTTTGCAAATAAAAATTTTCTGAACGGAAAAATTCCAACATGGCGGACTTCATTCTGCGCATGCGTAAACTGAGCCCGCGATAGTTTTGAACATAACAAGATGGCGGCAAAAGTTGAATGTTGAATGATCACTTTCTCTGCGGTAACTTCTGCTTGAACAAAATAAGCCTAAAAGTAGAGATTTACCCGAAGGCATTTAAGATAAGAGAGCTTTCTTGTCGTCTTTTGAAAGCTACTCCTTCTCTCATGCTACATGGAAAGAGAGATCTTAGAAATTAGTGGGAGGCAGAAATGAATACGAAAGGCCCGCAAAAAAGCGACACGAGACCCTTATGCAAATATGGTACAGNGTCTGGCCTTCTTTCTGTCCCGCTAAAAGTTTCCATAATCCATCAACATGGACAGACCATTTGCAGTATAAATTATGCGATGGAAAACCACTGGCACCGATAATTTCGCCAATAACATGAACTTCCGCCATACCTGCAACTGAGTGTTTGCAAATAAAAATTTCTGAACGGAAAAATTCCAACATGGCGGACTTCATTCTGCGCATGCGGAAACTGAGCCCGCGATAGTTTTGAACATAACAAGATGGCGGCAAAAGTTGAATGTTGAATCATCAAGTTTCTGCTTGAACAAAATAAGCCTAAAAGTAGTGATTTAACCAAAGGCATTTAAGATAAGAGAGCTTTCTTGTCGTCTTTTGAAAGCTACTCCTTCTCTCATGCTACATGGAAAGAGAGATCTTAGAAATTAGTGGGAGGCAGAAATGAATGAGAAAGGCCCGCAAAAAAGCGACACGAGACCCTTATGCAAATATGGTACAGCCTGTTATCGTAAGAACCCTGCTCACTTTCAGGAATATCGGCACCCAGGTATTTATGTAAAACAAACTTAATTTAATTCAGCCGAAATTTGAAAATGTGAAAAATCATGTTCATAATGTGCATGATCATGATTTTTAACATCAGCATGCAATGGCTGTTACCCGTGGCCGTACCTGAACCTGTAATATGGGAAGACTCCTCTTATAGACCTGCCAACCCCTAATAAAGGAAAATCTGCTGACTCATGAAAAAAAAAACAAAACAAAATGGGAGATTCTACAAAAATAGTATTGAGATTCTGTTTTTCCATTGGGGGAATGAAGTGTTTCTTTACAAGTTGATGGTTAATTTCTGTACTAGCCTTAAATGATAGATAGAAGCTGCACAAATTCCACAGTTCGGTAACTATTTAGCAGAGTGATAATTTTTATTAGTCGATCACTTTAGTTTATGTTACTGGCATCCCCCATTAAATTTCCATTTTTATGCAACAAGGTAACATTTCATTTCAAAATGATTTTTTCCCCCAAACCATGAGATTGGTATTCTTGTCGTGAGGCTGTGAGAAAAGACATAGTATCATGAGACTCGCACAGAAAAGAGTCATGAGAGTTGGCAGGTCTGCCCTTACCCTGCAGAAGTCATCACCAGTAGGGGGTTGAGGGGGGGGGGCACTCCTTATAAAGACCTATGCAGGGACGTTCAGCCTGAAAGGGGTACCAATTTCAGGTATATTAAAGTGTAGGTAAATCTATTATTTACTTATTATTAGATCAAAAAGACATGCCTTATTATGGCTTTATCATTTTAATTTATTTGAACTTACATGAAAATGACAAGAAGACTTCCTGTTTTAGCAATTTATGTTGTCTTATTATAATAGGTATGTGAAAGGGGTAACATTTTTCAATGGACGGTCATAATAATAAATGAAAGGAGCTTCTTTTCTATCAAAAAATGGTATTTACAAGGGTACGGGATTTTACCTTGAGGCAGAGTCTCCTGTACATATTGTTGCTGAGTAGTCCCCAGGGTCAAGTTAGTTAGGCATCTGGTACAGTATGATGCCACTTAGAAAAGGAATCTGGTCATTTTGCTCAAAAGTGGAATTGCTCAATGAATCGGGTTTAAATATTTATCTCCTCATGGTAAATACATTGTATGTTCCTCTGTACCCTTGGGCAGAAATGAGTGGGTACAAAAGGTTCCTAAATAATCCAAGTCCATAAATGAAAATGCTATTCCCACTCAAACCTGAGCAAAAACTTCGTGAAGAATTTGACTCAGGGCTTGAAAAAGTACTGTCCGCTAGTCCGGGATAAGTAGGTAGAGTTTTTTGGTCTGGGCAGGCAACTTAAGGTGCTTTTCAAAAGTCAGAATTGGCTGGTCGGACCAAGACTGGATCGGTCATTTTGAAAAATAAGTAAGCTTTTTCAAAGAGGTTTTGATGAAACACGATTTCCTTCATGCATACTATTTAAGATTTGACTGATCTAGCAAGATAGTTTTGATTAAAGGTGAAATTCTCATTATGACGGGAATGGCTTGGACGGTCAGTTCTGAAAATTGAAAGTGCCCTTAATTAAAGCTCACTTGCCCAATGAGTCTAGACAAATTATCCTTTAAAAAAATCATTATTTAACTCATAATACTGTGTAAAACAAGCAAGAAGTTCTCCCAGAGTAGCAAAATGTGAGAGCTGCTCATCCAATGGCTCCTTTTTTGAACCCTGTATCTTTATGAGATTGTTGATGTTCCTAATGTGAAAACTAACACACAGGTTATGACTCTGACACGGATGATGAAGAAGTGCAGAAATCCCCTCCAGCCAAGCGAAAAAAGCTAGAAAATAGCACAGCTGCTTGTGGGCCTTCAACATCATCAGCCTCCAGCAATACTACTGACATGGAGAGTTGCATACCTTTCTTGCTTACCAAAGTACGTGGAATTCCTTCTCAATATAACTCTAAACATATGGCAATCGGTATTAAAGGTATGTATTATGTGGGAATTTCAACATGTGTTCTACTTGATAGTATTGATATAATTTTTAAAAATTAATTCACTTGGAAAATTATTTTTTAACAATAATGTATAATGATATTATTGTGATCTAAAACCACTCAATGCTATTTCATTATTACCTCTTTGCTCTTTTCTAGATATCCTGTCAAGTCAGATGGGTGACTTAGAAGCCTCTGCACAGGTATAAAATATTGACATTAAAATCAGTAATTAATTTGATACTAAAATTAATATTCATAAAACTAAAGTTCAAACCAGAGGTAAAATTGGAGACAAAGAAGGGGGTTTGGTAAATTGAATGTTTCCCTTTTTATGGATATCCTATAGTAAAGATACTATTCTTTTTTTTTGTTTTTAAACTTCAGTTCAANTATTGATATAATTTTTAAAAATTAATTCACTTGGAAAATTATTTTTTAACAATAATGTATAATGATATTATTGTGATCTAAAACCACTCAATGCTATTTCATTATTACCTCTTTGCTCTTTTCTAGATATCCTGTCAAGTCAGATGGGTGACTTAGAAGCCTCTGCACAGGTATAAAATATTGACATTAAAATCAGTAATTAATTTGATACTAAAATTAATATTCATAAAACTAAAGTTCAAACCAGAGGTAAAATTGGAGACAAAGAAGGGGGTTTGGTAAATTGAATGTTTCCCTTTTTATGGATATCCTATAGTAAAGATACTATTCTTTTTTTTTGTTTTTAAACTTCAGTTCAACTACATGTTTGACATACCCTGGCTGATTGAACAGTATCCTGAAGCTAAGAGGTAAGTGGTTAATATGAAGGTTTAGCCAAGGCTAGAAGCAAAGCTCCCATTAATAAATTCATAATTTATTCAAATAATAAACTTGTAAAGAAATCCATTAAGGATTAAGCCTGCAATCAGTTAATAACCCAGTTAAACTGGTAACTTTTCGTGAATTACTTCCAAAAAAAGGCAACCTCAATGGGTCAACACCTGAGCCTGTGATACGATCATGTGATATATGTCTGCAGATACCCTGTTTCAACTGCTGTCAGTAATTTCTTGACCACATCATGAATTTGCAATGTCAGGTTGCAAGCTCCCACACTAGCTAGAGAGTGTGAGAGTGTAATAATTTATTATGTAATATCAAGGGCTATTAGAGACTAATGTGAGTGTCTTCCGTACAAATAAACACATTTTACTGCCTGTAGAATGCATGAAATGGAGTTCTAATATGCAAACAATAATTACTGCATAAGCCTTGTGCATCAAAATGTCTCGTAAATGTCTAGTTTCTGCCTAAGAACAGGGCTTGAAATAGCCATTGTAACTACTAATGGCAAATGGCAAGCCAAATTTTAGGTCTCTGGCAGACAAAAATAAACTAAGGTAAACTGCCGAATGGATATAACATAATAAAGCAGCATAAATTTTTTGTGACATTGTCTTCTCCTCTTACCATGCTTACTTACCTATCATTTCGTTCCACAAATCAATCGTCCTCTTTGAAAATAATATGATGGAAGGGTCCCAGCTCAAATGTAGCTTCTCCATAAAGTTTTCCATGATATGCATTTTCCTCATGAAATTTTACCCAGCATTTTAGGGTCCCCAGCAAGGTTTTGTTGATGTTTATTTATTTATTTACAAACTTTGCCAAGAGGCATGTCACTCACAGAGCAAGGTCTGCCTGAGGTCCAGATTTAGTGATTCATTCATGCATGGATAATAATTATTATGAATGCCTGCAATGTGTGGCAATACAATTAGAACATTGTTCTCAAGTAAAGTCTAATAATTTCCATCACTGTCACCTGAGAATGAAAGAAGAGAGCTTAACTATAAATTTTTTTCTTTTCTTTTGTACTTCAGTCCCCTTGGGGTTTAAAAAATGAACCTTTTTTGAAAGTGAGAGTTGCTAAACCAGATCTATTTATCACAGGTCGAAGCCACTGCTTATTGTTCATGGTAATCAAAGGGAAACCAGTGCCAATATTCGCAGAGAAGCTGAGCCATATCCAAACATTAAACTGTTTGGTGTAAGTATAAGAGTGTCATTGCATGTTAATGGTACAGAAGAATTAACCCACCTTATAACCACAAAATTCATACCACCACCTTGTTCACTTACTACAACCATATTATTTTAAGACTAAAAAACTGTCAGTCATTCTCTCTTCCCAAACTCTTGTTAATGAATCCAGCTTGTCAATATGACCGCAAAATTATTTTATGACCCATAATGCAATCCACATCACATCTTGTAACATACAGTAAAGGGAGCGGGGGGGAGGGTGGGGCGGCAAAACTTCTTGGATGCACAGATAATCAAATTTTATTAGCCATGGTGCTTTGCTTCATGCGTGCGCAGGTGAGGACTCTGCTAGGGTTGTTGTCACAGTTGTAGGAAAAACTGTCATATTGATAGCTTTAAATTAACCTTTATTAATTCATAGTGGCCAACTGCGTAGGTTTATGAAATAGATAAAATTACTCATAGGCCACCAGGTACTGCAGTCCACAGCCCAATTTCTCTTGGGATGACTGTAATACCCATGAAAATTTAAACACAACAGTAAGTGGAAAATTTTGGAAGGAACTAGCTGTGTCTAAAACTGTACCTATATCTCTCTTGATAGGCCAGGCTAGAAGCATTTGGGACACACCATAGGTCAGTGTCAATTAAGTTACAATAAAACTTGCATAATCACAGCAAAAGTAATAGTATTGTTGTTGTTAACTTAGTTTTTTTTTCTTTACAATTACATGTAACGTACAGGTCTTGTAAGAACTTTTGGCCGCTCTTTTAATATTATTATATTACAGATTATTAAAATATTATTGTCCCTGTCTTTTTCAGCAAAATGATGTTCCTGTTGTATAAAGAAGGAAGGAATGATAGATGACGTCATAGTACACGGTACATTACGTTAATTGTGAAAAAAAAAAAAAAAACGTGTGAAAAAGATGTTGTTGGAATTGTAGCATTTGACCTAAACAGGTTTACTTCCCATCAGCCATATTATTGCTTATATTCAGTTATATTACAATGGCCTACCTTATAATTATTGTGAGGAAAGAAATAATAGCTCAAGGAACGCAAAATATTTCAGATCTCATTGTCAGGAAGTCAAATCCATAAGAAATGGCAAACTTCAGCGATTACCCGGGAGATTTCATACTCTAATCTGGAGACCTGGAGAAGAGGTTCAAAATCTGGAGTCTCCCAGATTATCCGGGAGAGTTTACAGCCCTGATGATCATGATTTTTAACATCAGCATGCAATGGGCTCCTGACATAAGATACCTTAAGATACATTTTTTCTGAATATTCTGGTATGGCCATTACCTGTGGCTGTAGCTCAACCAGTAATATGGGAAAACTGCCCTTACATACATATGTACCTGCCTACCCCTGATAAAGGAAAATCTGGAGACTCATGGAAAAAAATCGGGAGATTCTACAAAAAATACAGTTGTGAGATTCTGTTTTTTCTGACTTGAAACAAGACCTTTTTCAACTGGGGGAAATGAAGTGTTTCTTTCAATCTAAACGGTTAATTTCTGTACTAGCCTTCACGATAAATAAAAGAACAAATCACACAGTTCAGTAAGTATTTAGCAGAGTAATAATTTTTATTAGTTGATCACTTTAGTTTATGTTACTGGCATTCCCCATTAAATTTCGTTTTTTATGCAACAAGGTAACATTTCATTTCAAAGTGATTTTTTCCCCAAAAACCATGGGATTGGTAGTCTTGTCTTGTGTGAGAAAAGACAAAATATAATGAGACTCACAGCAGAGTCGTGAGAGTTGGCAAGCCTGCCTTTAACCTGTAGAAGTCATCCCCAGTATGGGGCAGGGGGCACTCCTTATAAAGACATGCAGGGAGGCTCCACCTGAAAGGGGTACCAATTTCAGGCCTCAGGTATATTAAAGTGTAGATAAATCTATCTTTATGTATTATTAGGTCAAAGAGATGTGCCTTATTACATGTATGGCTTTATCATTTAAATTTACCTGAGCTCACATGAAAATGACAAGAAGACTTCCTGTTTTAGCGATTTATGTTGTCTTATTACAATAGATATGTGAAAAAGGTACCATTTTTCAATGGAAGGTAATAATTATAAATGAAAGGAGCTTTTTAATTCCTATCAAAAATAGCATTTAAAAGGGTAAGGGATTGGACCTCAAGGCAGAGTCTCCCATACATATTCTTGCTGAGTAGTCCCTAGGGAAGTCAGCTAGGCATCTGGTACAGTATGATGCCATCTGTAGAAAAGGAATCTGGTTGTTTTGCTCAAAAGTGGATTTGCTCAATGAATCGGGTTTAAATAAATATCTCCTCATGGCAAATACATTGTATGTTCCTCTGTACCCATAGGCAGAAATGAGTGGGTTGCAAGGTTCCTAAATAATCCAAGTCCATAAATGAAAATGGTATTCTGTAATCTTGCTGTAAGTAATCTATCATACAGTCTCCTCCCACTCAACCCTGAGCAAAGGGGCTTGGGCTTGAAAAAGTACTGTCTGGTAGTCTGGGGTAAGGAGGTCGATTTTTTTGCCGGGGCAAGTAACTTAGGCTGCTTTCCAAAAGTCAGGACTGGCCGGTCGGACCAAGACTTGACCGGCCATTTTGAAAATTAAATAGGCTTTTTCCAAGAGGTTTTGATGAAAAACTATTTCCTTCATGCATACTATTTAGGATTTGACTGATCTGGCAACATGTTTTGGGAAAAATGGAAAGCGCTCTTGATTAAAGCTCACTTGCCCAATGGGTCTAGGCAAATTATCCTTAAAAAAAAAAATCATTAACTTTATATTAAACTGTGTAAAACAAGCAAGAAGTTCTCCCAGGCTAGCAAAATGTGAGAGCTGCTCATCCAATGGATCCCTTATTTGAGCCCTGTAACTTTACGATATTGTTGATGTTCCTAATGTGAAAACTAACACAGGTTATGACTCTGACACGGATGATGAAGAAGTGCAGAAATCCCCTCCAGCTAAGCGAAAAAAGCTAGAAAATAGCACAGCTGCTTGTGGGCCTTCGACATCATCAGCCTCCAGCAATACTACTGACATGGAGAGTTGCATACCTTTCTTGCTTACCAAAGTACGTGGAATTCCTTCTCAATATAACTCTAAAAATGTGGCAATCGGTATTAAAGGTATGTATTATGTGGGAATTTCAACATGTGTTCTACTTGATAGTATTGATATAATTTTTAAAAATTCATTCACTTGGAAAATTAATTTGTAACAATAATGTAATGATATTATTGTGATCTAAAACCACTCAATGCTATTTCATTATTACCTCTTTTGCTCTTTTCTAGATATCCTGTCAAGTCAGATGGGTGACTTAGAAGCCTCTGCACAGGTATAAAACATTGATGTTAAAAATCAATAATTAATTTAATACTAAAATTACTATTCATAAAACTAAAGTTCAAACTAGAGCTAAAATTGGAGACAAAGAAGGGGGTTTGGTAAATTAAATGTCTCCCTTCTTTTCAGTTATATGAAAAAAAAAATTAAAAACCCGTTGGACATCCTAATAAAGATACTATTCTGTTTTTTGTTGTTAAACTACAGTTCAACTACATGTTTGACATACCCTGGCTGATTGAACAGTATCCTGAAGCTAAGAGGTAAGTGGTTAATATGAAGATTTAGCCGAGGCTAGAAGCAAAGCTCCCCATTAATAAATTCATAATTATTCAAATAATAAACTTGCAAAGAAATCCATTAAGGATCGAGCCTGCAATCCGTTGATAACTAGTAACTTTTCAAAGTGGATTACTTAAAAAAAAATGCAACCTCCATGGCTCGACACCTGAGCGTGCGATACGATCATGTGATATATGTCAGCAGATACCCTGTTTTAACTGCTGTAAGTAATTTCCTGACCACAACATGGATATTATTTTGCAATATCAGGTTGTAAGCTCCCACACTAGCTAGAGAGTGTGAGATTGTAATAATTTTTGTATAGGTAATAGCATGATTAGTAGTGATATTTGGCATAAATACCACGCGTGATATTTCAAAATTGTTATACGTAATTTCATGAGCCATTAGGCGAATGAAATGTGAGACAATTTTGAAATATCACGAGTGGTATTTATGCTTAATATCACGTACAAATCATGCTATTATTTGTTTATACTAATACCTGCAAAAGGTTTGTAATTTTCACATGTAATACTACTGCTCTAAGCCAATCAAATTGTAGAAATGTGTCATGTAGTAGTATTATTTAATATCAAGGGCTATTAGAGACTAATGTGAGTGTCTTATCTACAAATAAACACATTTTACTGGCTGTAGAATGCATGAAAAGGAGTTCAAACATGCAAACAGTAATTACTGCATGAGCATTGTGCATCAAAATGTCTCTCAAATGTCTAGTTTCTGCCTAAGAACAGGGCTTGAAATAGCCGCTGTAACTACCAATGGCCAAATGGCAAGCCAAATTTTAGGTCTCTGCATGGCAGACAAAAATAAACTAAGGTAAACTGCCAAATGGATATAACATAATAAAGCAGCATAAATTTTTTGTGACATTGTCTCCTCCTCTTACAATGCTTATGTACCTATCATTTCTTTCCACAAATCACTCGTCCCCATTGAAAATAATATGACAGAAGGGTCCCTCAACTATAGCTTCTTCATAAAGTTTTCCATGATATGCATTTTCCTCATGAAATTTTACCCAGCATTTTAGGGTCCTCAGCAAGGCTTTGTTGGTGTTTATTTATTTATTTACAAACTTTGGTAAGAGGCTTGGATAACTCACAGAACAAGGTCTGCCATGAGGTCCAGATCTGGTGATTCATTCATACAAGGATAATATTATGAATGCCTGCAATGTGTGACAATACAATTAGAACATTGTTTGCAAGTAAATTCTAATAATTTCTATCACTGTCGCCAGAGAATGAAAGAAGAGAGCTTAACTATAAATTGTTTTCTTTTCTTTTGCACTTCAGTCCCCCTGGGGTTTAAAAATCTACCTTTTTTGAAAGTGACAGTTTCTAAACCAGATCTATTTATCACAGGTCCAAGCCACTGCTTATTGTTCATGGTAATCAAAGGGAAACCAGTGCCAATATTCGCAGAGAAGCTGAGCCATATCCAAACATTAAACTCTTTGGTGTAAGTATAAGAGTGTCATTGCATGTTAATGGTACAGAAGAATTAACCCACCTTATAACCACAAAATTCATACCACCACCTTGTTCACTTACTACAACCATATTATTTTGAGACTAAAAAACTGTCAGTCATTTTCTCTTCCCAAACTCTTGTTAATGAATCCAGCTTGTCAATATGACTGCAAAATTATTTTATGACCCATAATGCAATCCACATCACATCTTGTAACATACAGTAAAGGGAGGGGGGGGTGGGGGCGGCATACAGATGATTATCACAACCAAAACTTCTTGGATGCACAGATAATCAAATTTTATTAGCCATGGTGCTTTGCTTCATGCGTGCGCACGTGAGGACTCTGCTAGGATTGTTGTCACAGTTGTAGGAAAAACTGTCAGATTGATAGCTTTAAATTAACCTTTATTAATTCATAGTGGCCAACTGCGTAGGTTTATGAAATAGATAAAATTACTTAATGCTTAATTGAAACAGTACTCATAGGCCACCAGGTACTGCAGTCCACAGCCCAATTTCTCCTGGGATGACTGTAATACCCATGAAAATTTAAACACAAAAGTAAGTGGAAAATTTTGGGAGGAACTAGCTGTGTCTAAAACTGTACCAATATCTCTCTTGATAGGCCAGGCTAGAAGCATTTGGGACACACCATAGGTCAGTGTCAATTCAGTTACAACAAAACTTGCATAATCACAGCAAAAGTAATAGTATTGTTGTTGTTAGCTTAGTTTTTTTTTTCTTTATAATTACATGTAACGTACAGGTCTTGTAAGAACTTTTGGCCGCTCTTTTAATATTATTATATTACAGATTATTAAAATATTATTGTCCCTGTCTTTTTCAGCAAAATGATGTTCCTGTTGTATAAAGAAGGACTTAGAGTGGTTATCACAACTGCAAACTTGATATCTATGGACTGGGATCAGAAAACACAAGGGTGACGTGTTTTTCAAAGATTTTAAAATTGTTTTTTTCGTTTCAAGTTTTTGTTAAGTTCTTATTGTTTGGGAGTCTTTTTACAATGAAACACTTTTATCAAACTTGACATGAAACGGTACCAACGAGTATTGCAGCCACTCTCTCTACCCTGAATTCCTTCCAGCATTACCCTCTTCCTCAGCATTCGTTGTCGTCGTCACATCATCATCACATCATCATCATCATCATCCTCCTCCTCCTCAGCATCATCTTTTGACTGCGGAGCAAGCACTACAGTTTTACCCCCGCTACCCCTGGTCTGTCAGACCATGGCTGTTATTCAAGGAACTTGTAGCTTTCATTTCTTTTCTCTGAGTTAGTGTAAACAGGACGTTTTAAGCTCACCAGGCCTCCTTTTCCCATTTCCAAGGGTGTGTAAAGCGTAACTTTCAAGTTAGTTCATGTAATACGTGCAATACTGATATGACCAAGGAACTTATGCTGACACTGTTGTGCTTTAACTGTATCTTTCTAAGAAGAGGTACTGTCTTGATGTGCGGGCGTACTTTAGTGATTGACATCCTGTCAGATCGTTTAATACCCCGCATTATCCAGTAAAGCGATGTCGCGAAAGCGTTGATCTTTTGTTCTTCAGTGTTATCTGTTGATAGCCATATTCATGCCTTTAGTTAAAAGATAAAAAAACATTACTGGCACTTTTGTCGCTTATTTTAGTGTTTGGATGAGCCCATTATTTGCTAAGATGTCATCTTCTTCAACAAAGTCAACACCAACTAATTTTAAAGAGGATTTATTGGTTAGTAGTTGAAAGTGTTAAAAATATTCCGACTTGACTACTTTGGTGCAGAGAAGGAAATAACAGAACATGCGGTTTTGTAGTAGTTTTGATGTAAATTGCAGATCAGTATCACTGCTCATGTGTATAAAGTTTAAGAAACTATCCAACAATTCTAACTAATCTAACTATCTAACTCAATCGAGTGAGGTTCAAGATTATCATCTTTGACCGTGTGAGGTTCAAAAAAAGGTCAAATTGCTGGTTGTAGGTTGTAGGTACATTAATTTCTGCAAGCTGGTTTCCCTTTTTTGCCCTTTACAAAGGTTTGCATAGGTGTACTTTGTGAAAAGAGCGGTCGATTTTCGTGATCATGAAATGATAACGTACGAACAAATTTGTGAAGAAACAAACAAACAAGAATGTAACAATTTGATTGGTTTGATGGACATAGTAGGGCGCCGCTTTTTGTTGGTTTAGCGAACACGCAAAGCCAAAGATTACCGGAAGTCATTTTCCGTAATTTGATATACAGAAAGAGGCTGCTGATGAGACAATCGAGTGCTTGTGTTTTCCTCGGCGAAAAAAACAAGACAAAACAAAACAAAAATCCGTGTTTTGATCCTTTTAACTACTGTCGGCAGATAAAAAAAAAATGCTCGTGGAAACAATTTTTCCTGGTTGAACGAAAATCACTCTATCTGTTTTATTTTGTTGCGGAATTTTGTCGATAAGTACTGTACTATTTCTTGTAGGATTACTTAGCGGCATATGGAGGGAATTCATTGGATGAGTGGAAAAAGCATATACGCGAACATGACATGTCTTCTGCAAGGTTTGTATAGAAGATTTTCTTTCCGTGGGGGACTCCATTATGAAAGTGACGTTCGGGGATGCTCGTCGACTCTCGTAGGGTTGTCAATTGCAGATTTGGGCCTCAGTTGGGCTGTTCAGGGTGTAGGGTTGATATTTTTATCTTTACTATCGCTCAGGGTGGTATGAAAGGAAGCATGTACAAAGTAAAATAACCCAACTCCGTCATACTGAAGACAGCATTCAATTTCAACGTCGTTCGCTCAATTTAAATCACTACAGCTCTAAATTGGTTCTGGGAATTAGTTGCCTGTTTTAGCTAAGTGTGAGTTACGCTTAGAATGGCCTCTTTGCGTAGTTTAATTCATATTTTCCGACGGGCATCACCTATCAATTTTCATTTAACAATTTTTAGTATAATTACATTGATGATTATTCGAGGAAATAAAATTATTGATCAATTTCCGACTCCGAAACATCAAAAAATCTGGCTGCCATTTCGAAAACTGCTAGCCTTTAAAGTGATAATGACCGCGCGGTGATTATAGCGGGATAAAGCTGTTAGCCAATCATAGCGCTCTGTTTTCGATAATCGTCAATGTAGTCATACTAATAATATATAAACAACAGAAAAGAAGAAAAAAAAAATCGCGATAAAATTTTCCCTTTGTAATATAACGCTTGGTATTTCTGGTGGAGCATTCGTAATACCCAGTTTTGTTGCAGTGTCCGATTGATTGCTTCAGTTCCTGGGAGACACACAGGACTCAACAAAACTAAGTGGGGACATCTCAAGCTGCGCAAGGTAATGTTTTTCTTCCATTGGCCATTTTCAACTTTTGCGCATGGAGACTAGGTCCTGACTCGTCCCCAGTCTTCTTTATGCCGGAGGAAGGACTGTGAGAAGCGTGACCAAAGGGAGCGCGAGGGGTGATGGGAAGGAGGCGCATCTCTCGTTATTAAGGAGCTTAAGAAAAGACGACGGCGACGTCAACGAGAACGGCAAAAAGACGTCTCGCAACCTGCAACAACCTGATTTCTTGCAAGACAACACCTGATTCGTGGGTGGTAAAACGCACAACACCACTATTCAGTCATTACAGCAATGTTGCAAAACAAGTTTTACGTTTTTGCTGCCCGTTTTGCCGTACGCTATGAGTTCTATGGGACTGTTTTGGGAACAATGCCGTTTCTTTTATTTTTATATTGAATTAATTAGATTTAAGGAGTGTTATGGGAAGTGCAGGGGGCATGAGCACGGTCCGATATATTCGCTCAGTATTTACGCCCGCTTTTCGGGCCAATTTTTCTTTACGTTTCCTAGAAAAAGATTGTAATGGGAAAAATAAAGATCGTTGTGCCGTGTTTGGATGTAGTAATGATCGCCTTTTTTTCCCGAGAAATATACAGTGAAGTTCTCTTTTTGCCCGAAAAGCTTGCGTAAATACTGAGCGAGTGCCCCCTGAAGAGTCCCTTGCCATAATACTGAGGAGTGTTATGGCATCCCATGATACTCCTTAAATCTGAAAAATTCAATATGGCCGTGTATTGAGTCATGTAAAAATTTGCGTGCCGCTCGCACACGACAAAAAGTACTTGATCGGTATTTTGAACAAAACTGTTGATTCCCCTGACAATGCATCTTTAAATGAACAACATTACAAGGTTTAGTACAGAACGGATGACTTACCATGAATAATTTCATCAGGTACTACATCAATATGGTCCTGTCGCGGATGATATCAGCGCCAAGTGGCCCGTGATTGGTCAGTTTTCTAGCATAGGATCCCTTGGGAATGACAAGGATCGTTGGCTGTGTGCTGAGTGGCTGCAAAGTTTATCAACTTGTTCTGGCAGCATGATGTCAAAGCCCCCGCTGCGTCTGGTAGGCATATATGTTTGTACTTCACCTGGTCCTCTAATAAATAATTCCGCTTGACGATGCTGTAGTAATAAAAAAGGCCGATTTGCAATCTAGTGCTTAATGACTAATTAGTCGCTAGATACCTTTAGACTCTAAAGCCTGATTCACACCAAAGCTTAAACATGTTTAAACGCTGTTTAGTTAAACGCGGTTTGAATTTTCTTTCCTTCATAAAAGCTGCTAACTAACTTAAATTGATTGCAGATTTAGTGCAAATTACAGAACATGTTGAATTTCATTTGAATCCTGCGTGAAACCCTGTGTTCCAGTTTTCCATGTCTGTTTTTCATTTTTAAAACCTGGTTTAATTAAACATGTTTAGATGGTGTGAATGGGGTATAAGACGATTGCGTCATTTTTGCGGGAAAATGTGGTAGCCGTCGTCATTCTGCAACGAGTTTTAGCGAGAATGTCGTGGTGGCGGAAACAAGTTATCAAATGTTAGAAGTTTTAGCATTATGCGTTCGGGAGAGGGCTGAACCTCCTGCAATAAAGATAACAGTGCTAATTTTTTGGGTCAAAAAAAGTGCAGTGAAGCTTTCCGGGGTGTCTTCAGTCTATTCGTTGAGAATACGCGAAAAAACTTATAGTTTATAAATCTCGTAGTCGTAGTCATAGTTGTTTTCATCTTCGAATCTCAGGGTCTCTAATAAAAACAAAGGAAAAGATTAGGCGGTGATTCACAAAAGTGGCGGCGGTCGCATACGGGGATGGTCTCTTACAAGAGATTTTAGAAAAAGTTGAACAGTTCAACCGGGGTTTCATATAGCTTGCGAGCAAGCTCCTGAACCTCTTTGGCCTTGCTCGCAGGCTAGGTTGCTATCTACAGCTGCTGTCAAACTAAATTGGTCGCAAGGAGAGTGTCCATGACTGAAGTTATGATCGTCTTTTGTTCCTATCACTGCAGATTTTTCCAACTGTGGATGATGTTCGTAATAGCTTGGAAGGCTATCCAGGTATGGCGTAGATTTTGAAATTATTAGTAACTATTTACGGCTCATAATCGGTGTAAAAACCTGTGAGCCTCACGAGCGACTTAAAACAATATTATAAATACAAAGAAGCCAGTGAGAAGTCAACACAATAGAGCCAAGGAAAATAATAGCTAGAAAACAAAGAAAAACTTCACACTGTCAGGTTTTTACATCGAGGATGACCCCAGTTGACTGAATTTGGGAATGGACAGTTGTATGCCCCACCTTCATAGGACACACAGGGAAGTTAGTATAGTGACGACTAATAGTAATCTTGATTGCTGTATTCCAAAGTGTTAGGATACTATCTTATAACTTTTTTCTTACCGGCTGTCCACGCTGAGGTGCCCAACAACAAGTAACTGGTTACCGGCACAAAGACTGGGTTGTCTTCACACCTTGAGTGCCCGATATATAACTGTGTACATAGTCCTGTGAGGCGCCATCGGTTAAAACTTGAGCAAAGCAGGGAGCACAAGCAGTAGATTGCTCCGGACCTAACACAGAGGGGCAAGAATCACAACAGCCTACTGGAAGCCAAATTATTAAAAAAAATTGTATGAAAATCTATCTTAAGATCGATAAAAACGGCTAACGCCGTTTATAGGGCAGGAAACAGTAAGAGAACAACACAGGCACAACTTTTTTTGAGGTATGTATACTTTAATAGCTGCTTTTGTACATTTTAACCGTTTTATCGATCTTAAGATGAATTTCCATAGAAATCCTCATAATTTGGCTTTGATTCTCGGCTCCCTGTTGAACTAACAACAACGGTATGCTCACAGGGACCCAGTGCCCACTCTAGTACCCGGCGCTTGAATTTGGGCGTGAGTACTTGAAAAAGGGTGTGTTCACATTAGTGCCCAATGAGTATCGTGCGTGGGCCCCACACCAAGTGTGAACGCGGCCTTAGATGTGTTTTTCTTTCTTCTTTTAAGCTGGAGGTTCACTTCCCTATAGTTCAAGTATCGCTGCGAAGCAGCCTTACCTCACAAACTTCCTTTGGTAAGTAGACATATGTTGTAATACATATGCCACCAAATGCAAACACTTCATGTACCCTCCTTGAGGACATTCCAATATCCTGCACAAACATCGATCAACGGTTTAGCTGCCACGTAGCGTACAGGCATTTTCTATAAATTAAGGCACTACATGTCCCTGTCTCAACTCAAACAGCTATATTATAACCTTCATATTTCCTCTTATTTCGTATGCCATATTAACATGGGGTAGTTCTTATCAATCGCAGATCAACAAAGTCCAATTAAAACAAAATACAGTAATTCGAGTAATGTTCTTCGCCGTAACTCATGGGAAGAACACAGAAAGCGTTCTTTCTCTCATGAATCTACTCAACATGTTGTCAGTGAAATCTGTCCACCAACTACAGGCCCTTAAATTTGCCTTCCGCTGGCACAAAAAGGAGTTGACAAGCATTTTTCAGAATTATTTCCAGTATGGCGATCAAGTGCGCAACTATAATACACGATATGCCCCCAAAAAGAACTGTTATAAGCGACGCACAAGAACAAAGATTGGAAAACAATCAATCCAATCCATAGCTGTTGACCTCGGGAAAGATCTTCACCTTCATTTGAAAGACCTCCCAAATTACTCCTTCCCACGCTTACTAAAACATCATCTACTGATAGACAATTCGAAAGTTGACCATATTCATTCTTTTTTATCTCCATATTGCTGGTTTTCACGTGACGTCAGTAAAATTCAAACTACAAAACTATCGATCCCACCGAGATTTTACTTTCACGATGTATTGGAGCAGCTGAAAAATAATCATTTTCATACAAATTTTCCCTTCAAAAGGGTTCTTGGTTTTTCTGATTGAGTACACTTGAATTTCTAAGCTTTTCGTGACGCAGCATTTACATGACGGCCAAGAGAGCTGTCATGTAGGTTAAAAAAATGACTTATTTCAGGGAATTTTCCTATCTAAACATTTCATGTATTACAAAAACTATTACTTTAATGTTTATGTGTTCTTCGAATAATAAATTCACGCTTTTGTAGCAAAATTCGGTAACAGATGTTTCTGTTGGTTTCCGTCCGCCACGTTGGTGCTAATCCCGATGAGCACCAGCATGGCGTCTCCGTACAAATCTCTATAAGATTTGGGTAAAACGTTTCTTCGAATATCTCGTATACGAAATATTCCTCTGACCTGAAATTTGGCGAGGGCCTTTGCATATTTACCACCTTTCATTTTCCAGATTCTGGACTTTTATCTATTGAACGGTTTTGATTTTTATTTTGATCCATTTTGGATGGCGTGACACTGAAAACCATCAATAGTGTGTAATGTGTGTGTTATTTACTTACTTACTTATTTTGTTTTGTTGTGTTTTTTCGGTACTATCTTATCTGTCACCACTGTATAAAAAATATCATTTTATAGCTAGGCGCTAGCAAGAAAACGTAAGTTCATTGACCTCCTAAACATCTTTGTTTTAAAAATTCATAATTTTATGTAACATTTCTTCTTTTCTTTTCATTAGCTATCAAAACAAATAAAATTCTCTATTAGATGTAATAACAAGGGTTGTTGTTGTTGTTGTTATTTTTTAGCTGTTGCTCTTTACCTTTACTAAAATTGGTTTAACCTATTTTATTAATCATATTTTATTAGTTCTTGGAAATCCCGTTCCTGTGGAAGAACTCGTGCCTCTCCTCACATAAAAACGTACACAAGAGCATCTCCTGACTGGACACAGGTGGCCTGGTTTCTAATGACAAGGTAAGCTAGAGCCACGTGGTAACAAAAACTGCAACTTGAGATCAATTTTCCTGTCGATGAACACAGGAAGACATATACATACCGCAACTTTATGTCAACTTTCCTGCAGATGAACGCGTGATAATATATACATACCGCAACTTTATGTCAACTTTCGCATCGACGAACACGTAAAGATATATACATACCGCAACTTTATATTAAGGTTCATGCAGATGAACACGTGATAATATAAACATGCCACAACTTTTATCAACTTTACTGCAGATGAGCACGTGATGATATATACATACCGCAATTTTATATCAACTTTCCTGCACACGAACACGTGATAATATATACATACCGCAACTTTATGTGAACTTTTCTGCAGATGAACACGTGGTGATATATACATGTTACAACTTTATATTAACTTTCCTGCAGATGAACACGTGATAATATAAACATGCCACAACTTTTATCAACTTTCCTGCAGATGAACAGGTGATGATATATACATACCGCAACTTTATATCAATTTTCCTGCAGATGAACACGTGGTAATATATACATACTGCAACTTTATATGAACTTTTCTGCAGATGAACACGTGATAATATAGAATATAGACATACAGCAACTTTATATCAATTTTCCTGCAGATGAACACGTGATGATATATATATACCGCAACTTTATATAAACTTTTCTGCATATGAACACTTGATAATATATACATACCGCAACTTTATATCAACTTTCCCGTCGATGAACATGTGAAGATATTTACAGACCGCAACTTTATGTTAACGTTCATGCAGACGAACACGTGATGATATATACATACCGCAACTTTATATATACTTCCCTGCAGATGAGCAAGTGATGATATATACATACCGCAACTTTATATCAACTTTCCTGCAGATAAACACGTGATAATATCTACATACCGCAACCTTATATCAGCTGTCCCACATTCGAACACGTGATGATATATACATACCGCAACTTTGTATCAACTTTACTGCAGATAAGCACATGATAATATATACATACCGCAACTTTATATCAACTTTCTCGTCGATAAACACGTGAAGATATTTACAGACCGCAACTATATATTAACGTTCATGCAGATGAACACGTGATAATATAAACCTGCCGCAACTTTTATCAACTTTCCTGCGGATGAACACGTGATGATATATACGTCCCGCACCTTTATATATACTTTCCTGAGGATGAACACGTGATGAGATATACATACCGTAACTTTATATCTACTTTTCTGAAGATGAACACGTGATAATATAGAATATAAACATACCGTAACTTTATATCAATTTTCCTGCAGATGAACTCGTGATGATATATACATACCGCGACTTTATATAAACTTTTCTGCATATAAACACGTGATAATATGTACATACCGTAACTTTATATCAACTTTCCCGTCGATGAACACGCGAAGATATTTACAGACCGCAACTTTATGTTAACGTTCATGCAGATGAACACGTGTTGAGATATACATACTGCAACTTTATGTCTACTTTTCTGCAGATGAACACCTGATAATAATGACATACCGCAACTTTATTTCAATTTTTCTGCAGATGAACACGTGATTATATATACATATAATCACGTTATATGAACTTTTCTGCAGATGAACACGTGATAATATATACATAACGCAACTGAATATCAACTTTTCCGTCGATGAACACGTAAAGATATTTACAGACCGCAACTTTATATTAACGTTCATGCAAGAGCAACTGAACACGTGATAATATAAACGTGCCGCAACTTTTATCAGTTTTTCTATAGATGATGAGATATGCATACCGCAACTTTATGTAAACTTTCCTGCAGACGAACACGTGATAATATAGACGTACCGCAACTTTTTATCAATTTTCCTGCAGATGAACACCTGATGATATACAGCTATTTCGAGGAAGGTTGTCGGGAAAAAATGTGCACGCGACAATCCCAAAAGGTAATATGGGATACGATCAATTCACGATGCTTGACACTGTAGCTTTCGAACCTACTTTTGTTACTTTCTTTTACCAAATGAACACGTGATGATATATATAGATACCGCAACTTTATATCAACTTTCCTGCACACGAATACGTGATAATATACGCATACCGCAACTTTATATGAACTTTCCTGCACACGAATACGTGATAATATATACTTACCGCAACTTTATATCTACTTTCCTGCACACGAACACGTGATAATATATACTTACCGCAATTTTATATCTACTTTTCTCTAGATGAAGACGTGATAATATAGAATATATCCATACCGCAACTTTATATCAATTTTCCTGCAGATGAACAACTGATGATATATAGATACCGCAACTTTATATCAACTTTCCTGCACACAAACACGTGATAATATATCCATACCGCAACTTTATATCAATTTTCCTGCAGATGAAGACGTGGTAATATATACGTACGGCAACTTTATATGAACTTTTCTGCAGATGAACACGTGATAATATAGAATATAGACATACAGCAACTTTATATCAATTTCCCTGCAGATGAACACGTGATAATATCTACATACCGCAACCTTATATCACCTGTCCCACATTCGAACACGTGATGATATATACATACCGCAACTTTATATCAACTTTCCTGCAGATAAGCACATGATAATATATACATACCGCAACTTTATATCAACTTTCTCGTCGATAAACACGTGAAGAAATTTACAGACCGCAACTATATATTAACGTTCATGCAGATGAACACGTGATAATATAAACCCGCCGCAACTTTTATCAACTTTCCTGCGGATGAACACGTGATGATATATACATCCCGCACCTTTATAGATACTTTCCTGAGGATGAACACGTGATGAGATATACATACCGTAACTTTATATCTACTTTTCTGACGATGAACACGTGATAATATAGAATATAAACATACCGTAACTTTATATCAATTTTCCTGCAGATGAACTCGTGATGATATATACATACCGCAACTTTATATAAACTTTTCTGCATATAAACACCTGATAATATGTACATACCGCAACTTTATATCAACTTTCCCGTCGATAAACACGTGAAGATATTTACGGACCGCAACTTTATGTTAACGTTCATGCAGATGAACACGTGTTGAGATATACATACTGCAACTTTATGTCTACTTTTCTGCAGATGAACACCTGATAATAATAACATACCGCAACTTTATTTCAATTTTTCTGCAGATGAACACGTGATTACATATACATATAATCACGTTATATGAACTTTTCTGCAGATGAACACGTGATAATATATACATAACGCAACTTAATATCAACTTTTCCGTCGATAAACACGTAAAGATATTTACAGACAGCAACTTTATATTAACGTTCATGCAAGAGCAACTGAACACGTGATAATATAAACGTGCCGCAACTTTTGTCAGTTTTTCTATAGATGATGAGATATGGATATCGCAACTTTATGTAAACTTTCCTGCAGACGAACACGTGATAATATAGACATACCGCAACTTTTTATCAATTTTCCTGCAGATGAACACCTGATGATATCCAGCTATTTCGAGGAAGGTTGTCGGGAAAAAATGTGCACGCGACAATCCCAAAAGGTAATATGGGATACGATCAATTCACGATGCTTGACACTGTAGCTTTCGAACCTACTTTTGTTACTTTCTTTTACCACTCGCAATCATATATCCATGGCCTCTCGTGCCATTCTCTCAAATTTTTCTTGAAGAACAGTGAACTCAAACCCACCCACGATACCATTCGGAATTGTCGCGTGCACTTTTTCCCACAATCTTTTTCGAAGTAGCTGTATACATACCGCAACTTTATATCAACTTTCCTACGGATGAACGCCTGATGATATATACATACCGCAACTTTATATCAACTTTTCTGCAGATGAACACGTGATGATATATACATACCGCAACTTTATATCAACTTTCCTGCACACGAACACGTGATAATATATACATACCGCAACTTTATATCAATTTTCCTGCAGATGAACAGGTGATGATATATACATACCGTAACTTTATGTCAACTTTCCTGCAGATGAACAGGTGATGATATATACATACCGCAACTTTATATCAACTTTCCTGCAGATGAACAGGTAAGATATATACATACCGCAACTTTATATCAACTTTCCTGCAGATGAACACCTGATGATATATACATACCGCAACTTTATACCAACTTTCCTGCACACGAACACGTCATAATATATCCATACCGCAACTTTATATCAATTTTCCTGCAGGTGAACAGGTGATGATATATACATACCACAACTTTATGCCATTTTTCCTGCAGACGAACAGGTGATGATATATACATACCGCAACTTTATATCAACTTTCCTGCAGATGAACACCTGATGATACATACATACCGCAACTTTATATCAACTTTCCTGCAGATGAACACCTGATGATATATACATACCGCAACTTTATACCATTTTTCCTGCACACGAAAACGTGATAAAATATAGATACCTTAACTTTATATCAATTTTCCTGCAGATGAACAGGTGATGATATATACATACCGCAACTTTATGTCAACTTTCTTGCAGATGAACACGTGTTGATATATACATACCGCAACTTTATATCCAGTTTTTTGCAGATAAACAGGTGATGATATATACATACCGCAACTTTATATCAACTTTCCTGCAGATGAACAGCTGATGATATTTACATACCGCAACTTTACACCAACTTTCCTGCACACGAACACGTGATAATATATAGATACCGCAACTTTATATCAATTTTCCTGCAGATGAACATGTGATGATATATACATACCGCAACTTTATATCAACTTTCCTGCAGATGAACACCTGATGATATATACATACCGCAACTTTATGTCAACTTTCCTGCAGATGAACAGGTGATGATATATACATACCGCAACTTTATATCAATTTTCCTGGAGATGAACAGGTGATGATATATACATACCGCAACTTTATGTCATTTTCCCTGCAGATGAACAGGTGATGATATATACATACCGCAACTTTATATCAACTTTCCTGCAGATGAACACCTGATGATATATACATACCGCAACTTTATGTCAACTTTCCTGCAGATGAACAGGTGATGATATATACATACTGCAACTTTATATGAATTTTCCTGGAGATGAACAGGTGATGATATATACATACCGCAACTTTATATCATTTTCCCTGCAGATGAACAGGTGATGATATATACATACTGCAACTTTATATCAACTTTCCTGCAGATGAACACCTGATGATATATACATACCGCAACTTTATGCCAACTTTCCTGCACACGAACACGTGATAATATATACATACCGCAACTTTGTATCAATTTTCCTGCAGATAAACATGTGATGATATAGACATACCGCAACTTTATACCAACTTTCCTGCAGATGAACAGGTGATGATATATACATACCGCAACTTTATATCAACTTTCCTGCAGATAAACGCGTCCTGATATATACATATTGCAACTTTATATCAACTTTCCTGCAGTTGAATAGGTGATGATATATACATACCGTAACTTTATATCAACTTTCCTGCAGATGAACGCGTCCTGATATATACATACTGCAACTTTATATCAGCTTTCCTGCAGTTGAATAGGTGATGATATATACATACCGCAACTTTATATGAATTTTCCTGGAGATGAACAGGTGATGATATATACATACCGCAACTGTATGTCCTTTTCCCTGCAGATGAACAGGTGATGATATATACATACCGCAACTTTATATCAACTTTCCTGAAGATGAACACCTGATGATATATACATACCGCAACTTTATGTCAACTTTCCTGCAGATGAACAGGTGATGATATATACATACCGCAACTTTACATCAACTTTCCTGCAGATGAACACCTGATGATATATACATACCGCAACTTTATGTCAACTTTCCTGCAGATGAACAGGTGATGATATATACATACCGCAACTTTATATGAATTTTCCTGGAGATGAACAGGTGATGATATATACATACCGCAACTTTATGTCATTTTCCCTTCAGATGAACAGGTGATGATATATATATACCGCAACTTTATATCAATTTTCCTGCAGATGAACACCTGATGATATATACATACCGCAACTTTATATCAACTTTCCTGCAGATGAACAGGTGATGATATATACATACGGCAACTTTATATCAACTTTCCTGCACTCGAACACGTGATAATATATACATACCGCAACTTTATTTCAATTTTCCTGCAGATGAACAGGTGATGATATATACATACCGCAACTTTATATCAATTTTCCTGCAGATGAACATGTGGTGATATATACATACCGCAACTTTATATCAACTTTCCTGCACACGAACACGTGATAATATATACATACCGCAACTTTATATCAATTTTCCTGCAGATGAACAGGTGATGATATATACATACCGCAACTTTATGCCAACTTTCCTGCACACGAACACGTGATAATATATACATACCGCAACTTTATATCAATTTTCCTGCAGATAAACATGTGATGATATATACATACCGCAACTTTATACCAACTTTCCTGCACACGAACACGTGATAATATATAGATACCGCAACTTTATATCAACTTTCCTGCGGATGAACAGGTGATGATATATACATACCGCAACTTTATATCAACTTTCCTGCAGATGAACGCGTCCTGATATATACATACTGCAACTTCATATTAACTTTTCTGCAGATGAACAGGTGATGATATATACATACCGCAACTTTATATCAACTTTCCTGCAGATGAACACCTGATGATATATACATACCGCAACTTTATACCATTTTTCCTGCACACGAACACGTGATAAAATATAGATACCTTAACTTTATATCAATTTTCCTGCAGATGAACAGGTGATGATATATACATACCGCAACTTTATGTCAACTTTCCTGCAGATGAACAGGTGATGATATATACATACCGCAACTTTATATCAACTTTCCTGCAGATGAACACCTGATGATATATACATACCGCAACTTTATATCAACTTTCCTGCAGATGAACAGGTGATGATATATACATACCGCAACTTTATATCAACTTTCCTGCAGATGAACACCTGATGATATATACATACCGCAACTTTATATCAACTTTCCTGCAGATGAACAGGTGATGATATATACATACCGCAACTTTATATCAACTTTCCTGCACATGAACACCTGATGATATATACATACCGCAACTTTATATCAACTTTCCTGCAGATGAACAGGTGATGATATATACATACCGCAACTTTATATCAACTTTCCTGCAGATGAACACGTGATGATATATACATACCGCAACTTTATATCAACTTTCCTGCAGATGAACAGGTGATGATATATACATACCGCAACTTTATATCAACTTTCCTGCAGATGAACACGTGATGATATATACATACCGCAACTTTATATCAACTTTCCTGCAGATGAACAGGTGATGATATATACATACCGCAACTTTATATCAACTTTCCTGCAGATGAACACGTGATGATATATACATACCGCAACTTTATATCAACTTTCCTGCAGATGAACAGGTGATGATATATACATACCGCAACTTTATATCAACTTTCCTGCAGATGAACAGGTGATGATATATACATACCGCAACTTTATATCAACTTTCCTGCAGATGAACAGGTGATGATATATACATACCGCAACTTTATATCAACTTTCCTGCAGATGAACACGTGATGATATATACATACCGCAACTTTATATCAACTTTCCTGCAGATGAACAGGTGATGATATATACATACCGCAACTTTATATCAACTTTCCTGCAGATGAACAGGTGATGATATATACATACCGCAACTTTATATCAACTTTCCTGCAGATGAACACGTGATGATATATACATACCGCAACTTTATATCAACTTTCCTGCAGATGAACAGGTGATGATATATACATACCGCAACTTTATATCAACTTTCCTGCAGATGAACACGTGATGATATATACATACCGCAACTTTATATCAACTTTCCTGCAGATGAACAGGTGATGATATATACATACCGCAACTTTATATCAACTTTCCTGCAGATGAACACGTGATGATATATACATACCGCAACTTTATATCAACTTTCCTGCAGATGAACAGGTGATGATATATACATACCGCAACTTTATATCAACTTTCCTGCAGATGAACACGTGTTGATATATACATACCGCAACTTTATATCCACTTTTTTGCAGAGAAACAGGAGATGATATATACATACCGCAACTTTATATCAATTTTCTTGCAGATGAACACGTGATGATATATACATACCGTAACTTTATACCAACTTTCCTGCACACGAACACGTGATAATATATACATACCGTAACTTTATATCAATTTTCCTGCAGATGAACACGTGATGATATATACATACTGCAACCTTATATGAACTTTTCTGCAGATGAACCCGTGGTAATATATACATATTGCAATTTTTTTTAACTTCCCTGCAGATGAACAAGTGTATATATATTCATGCAGCAACTTTATATCATTTTTTGTTCGATGAACACGTGATGATACTTATTCTTGCCGCAGCTTTATATCAACTTTCCTGTAGATAAAGACGTGATAATTAATATATACATTATGCAACTTGATATCAACTTTCTTGTACATACTGAAACTGTTCGTATAACCACGTTTTGTCACAGAAAGCTTCACAGCACTATCAAATTCGTTGTATATTACGTCGAAACATTGCTGCCATTTTCAGAATTTTTTCACGTATGCGCTCTTTTATCGCTTCTCACATTCCTTACTGGCGATCACGTACACAAATCGGATTTGACCAGATCTCGCCTCCCACTTTGTCGACATGAGATATGGGTACGAGATTGCTGTAGATGAACACGTGATGATATATACATACCGCAACTTTATATCAACTTTCGTGTGGATAGACACTTGATGATATATACTTGTTGCAACTTTATAACAACTGTTCCTTCGATGAACACGTGATGATATATTCATGGCGCAACTTTATATCAACTTTCCTGGTGGTGAATACTTGATAATAGGGAGCTTGAGCAACAGCATTTTTGAGCGACGGACGTCGACCGGAAGTAGACATTTTGCATCATTGGGTAGTGGTTTGGTTGAAACTCTCGGGTGAATCGTCTTTATAAGAGAAAAGGAACTCAGCAACACAAATTTGTTAGGGTCAAGGCATATGAAAAGGGGTAAGGCCTCACTTCCAGTTAACCTTCGTCGCTCAAAAACGTCTTTGCTTAAGTTCCCTTATATATACATGCCACAACTTTACATCACCTTTTTTGTACAATGTAAATTTTTTGTTTTGATTGCAGTGGGTGTATTAATATGGTCATCTTTTTAGTATAAATCTAATAAAGCAATGTGCTTTATGGATATCTTATGAACTTGTTTTGACAGCTGCTGGATTTGTCGTCAAAATATCAGACATAAATTCTATAAAATGTTCTTTGGGTAGCATAATTTCCCTCGTCTTCCTCTGTTCAGTTTGCTCCGCTATCTTTGATAAAGCTTGCCGCTGCGCCTCGGAAAATACGTTAATGATATTTTTCGGTTTTTTGTTTTGTTTTTTTGTTTTCTCTTTTAATTTCTTGAAACAATATCTGAGCGCGCGAAATTTATTATGGTCAAATGATCAAAAAACGCTCGTGTTTAGTGTAGGTTTCCAAGAGCGCGCGCATTGCGTTAATGTTAACCAAGGTAACCGAACTTGTTTAGATCTATGTCNAAAGGGGTAAGGCCTCACTTCCAGTTAACCTTCGTCGCTCAAAAACGTCTTTGCTTAAGTTCCCTAATATATACATGCCACAACTTTACATCACCTTTTTTGTACAATATAAATTTTTTGTTTTGATTGCAGTGGGTGTATTAATATGGTCATCTTTTTAGTATAAATCTAATAAAGCAATGTGCTTTATGGATATCTTATGAACTTGTTTTGACAGCTGCTGGATTTGTCGTCAAAATGTCAGACATGAATTCTATAAAATGTTCTTTGGCTAGCATAATTTCCCTCGTCTTCCTCTGTTCAGTTTGCTCCGCTATCTTTGATAAAGCTTGCCGCTGCGCCTCGGAAAATACGTTAATGATATTTTTCTTTTTGTTTTGTTTTTTTTTGTTTTCTCTTTTAATTTCTTGAAACAATATCTGAGCGCGCGAAATTTATTATGGTCAAATGATCAAAAAACGCTCGTGTTTAGTGTAGGTTTCCAAGAGCGCGCGCATTGCGTTAATGTTAACCAAGGTAACCGAACTTGTTTAGATCTATGTCTTAAAAAAATATGCTTAGATAGCTGAGTGGTGGGAAAATTCACTTCAATGTTGACTGGCATTTTTGTAACGTGTAGTTAAGCAATGGAGTAAATAAAATGTTAAACATTAGCTCAAGTTTGCGTGGCATTGGTACAAAAAACTTTTTTGTCTGACCGCGTTTACAACGCCTTTCTAGCGGGTAGAGAAAAAGGAAAACTTTTTTTTTTGGAAAGCTTTTCTTACCTTTTCATTGTCCACCCCGCGAAAGGTCCAAAATTAAATGTGGTGATGTTTGTACGATGAGGGAAAACAATGGTTTTGCGCTCCTGTACAATTTTTGTCCTCTCGTTTGAACCGCGCGACTTTTTCCGTTAGTTAAAAGAAAGAAATGATGCCAAACCGTCACAATAGGGATGATGATTCTCATCGCGCGCGCGCTCAGAAAGCTAGTTTTCAGGTCTCTTGTGGCGTGGAAGAAAGCAGTTTGTGGATCTCTTGAGACCTCGTTTTGATTATAGTAATGATCAAGTTGTCTTTACACCTTCAGCCCTTCATTACCAGGAAATACATTTTTATTAACGTGAAAATATTATTTATTTCAATTAATGTATAAACAGTTTAGCGAAGAAAGCAAACATTTAATTTGTGGCCTAGCCATAAAAGATTATTGCATCAAGAAGGACAATCATTAAGGCCAATTTCTATAGCCTTTTATCGAAAACAACATTCTTAGTGCGAATAAGGTTTAATTTTCCCTGAGTGAATGTTCTTTTATGACAATTATTATTTTTTTGAGCATTATCTTGCCAATATCGCGTTGAATTTGGAGGTACACTTTAATTCGGGAGCGAATTTTACAATATACCTAAAATTCGTATTGCAGAAGTGGAGCGTATAGTACGTTGCATTCATTTTGTTAAGCTTGTACATGTATTTAATTTGCTACCGTTCTTACACAAACAAACACGCGATGTGTTCAGTCAATTGCCTCTACGTGTTAAGGAGCTTAAGAAAGGAAGGATATAACCAAGTGGAAATTGATCATTTATTTCGGTCTTTTGTTTTACCTAAAATTTCGTATGGTTTACCGGTGAATACAGCATCCGTGCCTGAACTTAATACTGTGCAGCAGTTTCTTCGCAGGTGTCGTAAATGCCGTTTTATGTCCTATGCTATAGATATATACGATTTGCTTGAAAAAACAGACAGGTCAATCTCAAAGAAGATTAGTTGCCTACCTACTCATCCGCTGTATAATTTGTTGCCCAAATTTAAAGAATCTTCAAAACGTCTGAGAACTCAAACAAGCCTACTACCCTGTGTTAATACGGAACGTTTTAAAGCTACCTGTAGTTTTATTAATAAACCGTATTTTAAATATACTTTTACTTTTTAACCTAATAATATTAAACATGTAAATATAGGTATGTATTTTTACTGGTATATTCAATAACGACTGAAAAGGAAAAAAAAAGACTTAAAAATACATGTAAAATCAGGGAGCAGAGAGATTAATAAAAGTAACGAACGCATGAACATTTGAGTTGTTTGTCACGCAAATCAAAACTCGAAAGCAAGCATATGGAAAATCAGCTTTTTTTCCAACGCTACTAATAATCATCATAAGGAGTTCGCTAAGTTTACACGCGGGTATGGACAAATTTTTGAACGGACAAAAACTTGCACGCATCCGGCGTTTTTCGTTTTCAAGGGACCCGGAGAACCGTGCAAGTTTTGGTATGGACTCTTGTAAACAGTACTGAACAGTACTGCAATCTCTGACAGAATTTGTACGGTTCCGTGTAAACGAGTTGCACAAGTAAAAGGTTCGTCCGTTCAGAAATTTGTCCCGGACCCGTGTAAACGGTATGTGAGTTTCAGGTCCATTTTTAACAGAGTGTTTAGCACGACGGCGACGACAGAGTAAATGTCACTTAAAAAGTGAGTTCGCGTTATTTCAATCTTCATCGCGGTTATTTCAACTCGTTGACGTTGTAAAATGCTGGCCAATTCTCCCTTGAGTTGAATTCTTAGGAATCATATCCGAGTTCAGAAAGAGGAAGAAAATTTCGTCGTCGCTGGATAACTTCCTTCGTCAATCGTGAAATCAGGCATTTTCACGTCGTAGTCACCCGGTAACAGCAAATGTTGAAGGTGTCGTTTTGCTTATTAATCCTTTTGCTCTTTTGACGTGTTCGTTGCCGTCGCCAAGACCATTAAACATGCACTGAGCGTTCATTGAACGCGCTTCAGTAACTTATATTGTGGATCTATGCATTTTTCGTGTAATCCTTGATGACCAGTTGTTGCTTGTAGGTAATTTTGCACGCAACAACAATTATTTCCGTTCTGTTCCCTTAGAATTGTGTTTTTAAGAATTCTCGCCAGAAAATTAGGGCTAAAAATTTTGCCGTGTTTGCTAAATTGTTTTGATTTTCGCTTTGAATTATCAAGTATGAGTTTTCAAAGTATGTTTTAAAAACACTTTTCGGCAATTACCGTTTTCTTTTCCTTCTTTTTAGTGCAAATTTGTCAAAAGCAGCTTGGGGGACCCTAGAGAAAAACGGTCAGCAGCTCATGATCCGTTCGTATGAGATTGGAGTTCTCTTTCTTCCCAAAGATCAGGTATGGTGAAAATGGACGCAACAACTCAGCTGACAACTCCCACGAATGTTGGGACTGGTTGGCCAACAATGTTGCACCCGTTTGCCCGCGGCTAAAAGTTTGACCAGTTTTAAGCTTAACAAAACAACACGCAACAAAATGTAACAGGTTGTGCGGACGGACGCAACATGTAATATCCAGCAATGTTGGAAAATGTGTCCGCTTCTACGAAGCTTAAGAACTGCACACGATCCAGTCTTTTAAAAACAGGCGGACACCTTCGTACACTCATAAACGTTTTTCAGTTGGTACCACTTAAAATCGATGTTATCTTACATGATCGAGACCAACTATCCCGCAGTTTTATTAATTTTATTGACGGGATAGTGCACTTTGGTTCGTTGATTACAATCAACTCTCCCTAAGATGGACGCCTCTGGGATTGGCTTTATGTGTTCGTATTAGAAAAATATGCGTCCTATAAAGGGTCAACTAAAAGGTGTAAACAAAGGCAGGGACCATCTCTATACCGGGGTGGGGGCGGGGGGGGGGGGGAGAACTCAACAAATGTTTATACAGGGAAGCTCAGCCTTGAGGTCCAACCCCTTACCGTTTTTCAACCATTTTTCACGGAAAAGGTATCCCTTTTATATACCGTCTATTAACAAATGGTACCCATTTCACATACCTTGTTTAGAACTTTGCATCCCTGTTAACTGCTTTAAATGCAATGTCCTTTAAATTTGAATCAGTCTCCTAAATCGAACGTTTTCTCGACTTTATAAAGCCATAAAATTCATCTGTTAGGCCAGGATTTTCCCTTACGCGCAAATACGCGTCAGAGACGCGTTGTTTCGCCGAAAAAGAAAAAAAGGACGCAAAACACCAAAGAGAACCGGTCCTCTCGGACGCACATGTTCTAGAGCGATAGTTTACTAAAAATTAGTTTAGAACTGCGTAGTTCTTCAAAAACTTTTTTTTGAGAATAAAATATACAGACTTTTGAATCTTCTTCTTTTGTGTGACCCCTTTTTTAAAACTAAAAAGAGCCATACTCACTCTGAATGGTTCTCAAGCTTGCTTTTCTGATGTTCCGATCGGAGAACCACATTGAAACTCCTTGCAGAGGCTTGGGAACTAATGTCTCATTGTGAGGCATTCTGGGACAGAAAGTAGGTTGAAAAAAAAAACATGGCGGATTCGGAATCACAGCCCGGTGAGCCCGCTAAGTAAAAGAGGCATTTTCTGCCTGCTTGGTTGAAAGAATTTACATGGTTGCGATATCTGTAAGTCAACAGGTGAGAGAAACCCTTTCACAACTACAGGCTGTAACAATCTTCATAAGTCGACCCTGGAAATGCACCAAAATTTTAAAGATCACATTTTGAGTATCAGTGACCTCAAGCTTAGAAAAAGCTTTCAAGCGACAGTTTCAAATGCAAAGAAGAACATCGACAATCAAACCCTGGAAATTACAAGGAGGCAGATTGTTCAGCTTAAAACTGTATCTTATAACTAAGAACGACATTGTCGCTGATAACTTTAATTGCTGCCTGGCATCAGCCGGCAGCAGACCATATTCTTGATCCATTTGAGATTTTTGGTTCGATGGTTCGATGGCTCGATGGTTCGATGGTCATCTGTGACTGCAGCCCTGTGCAGTCAGCGGTTTGCTTAGCTGCCGCGCCTGTTTTTCACTTAGGAGCAACCCGCCATTTTGTTTTGCTCTCATGTAAGATCTCTGCAGAAATCGTAGTTTATCGGATGCTTGCTGTCTTTTTAAACGGCTAAACGGTAAGAACAGTTCAAGACGTATTGTACGGAACATTTTTTCGGTTTATTTTTTTTATTCAGGTTTCAAGATTAGTTATAGGGAGTATTCTTTTGTCACCCAGATTGTTATCTCGGTAATCAGGATTGTATCGAATTGTAAGTTACATAAGTGAACCGCATGTGCTGTACATCTACCTGACCTGTGAATAAACAAGTTTTGGCCTTTACGTCATTTGTTCGCAACTCATCTCATCGATCCTGTGTACGATGATTGTTCGATGAAGAAACAGCCTATCAGCACCGCTGTTGTTTTAGAATTTCGTGAATTATTAAAATGAATTACAAAATAGTATTGAAACCTCAGCGAGTTATATGAATGTAAGCATATTTGTCATCGTGATCGGTTCATTTTTTGTATTACGCTCTGAGTGTTTCATAATGCCAGCAAGTCTAAGTTATTAACTTTAATAAAAAAGAATTTATATGTTCAACTGTTCTACAAACTGTCTTTGTCCTGTCTTAGGGACTCCAAAAGGAAAATATTGAGGGAAAAACCTGACTTTTGAGCCCTTTGACAGACCGAAGTGACCGATTTCTCTACCCTTTCATATACTTCAACTAGTGAATTGCCTACCCATTCATATACCTGAAGCCTGAAAAAGGTACCCCTTTCTGGCGAAGCCTCCCTGTATAGGCCATCATAGGGAGTCTTCCACGGACTCTATTGGTGTCCCTTTCAGCGAGGTGTCCCTCTCGTAAAGGTGTCCGATGAAGGAGCGTTGACTGTATGCACCAAAAAGACATGGCAATGCGCTTTTCCTGTTCTTGTTCCTCTTATCTCTGTTTGTGCTTCCTGTTTCACAGGATCCCGAAAGCAAGTATTTCCTTGTAAAAGGAAACCAAGGAAGTAAATCGAGCTCTTCCAGCTACAGTCTACAGCTCCCTTTTGATGTTCCAGCGTCTCCTTACACGAAAGATGGTACGTTAGTAAACTCAATTAATGTTAAATTAATTTTAAACTGTATCAGGTGGTGACNAAAGGTACCCCTTTCTGGCGAAGCCTCCCTGTATAGGCCATCATAGGGAGTCTTCCACGGACTCTATTGGTGTCCCTTTCAGCGAGGTGTCCCTCTCGTAAAGGTGTCCGATGAAGGAGCGTTGACTGTATGCACCAAAAAGACATGGCAATGCGCTTTTCCTGTTCTTGTTCCTCTTATCTCTGTTTGTGCTTCCTGTTTCACAGGATCCCGAAAGCAAGTATTTCCTTGTAAAAGGAAACCAAGGAAGTAAATCGAGCTCTTCCAGCTACAGTCTACAGCTCCCTTTTGATGTTCCAGCGTCTCCTTACACGAAAGATGGTACGTTAGTAAACTCAATTAATGTTAAATTAATTTTAAACTGTATCAGGTGGTCACCAAGGCAAATGACCAATTACATCGCGGGATTATATCCGTTACATTTGCGATAACGGATACAAGAAGAAACTTTGTTGAAACCAAGTTACTGTATTTTCCTCAAATAATAGCCAGGGGTGACTACTTTTTTTTTGGCACCAAAAGAGGTCGATTATTTGAGGGAGGCGTTTATTTCAAATATTGCTCATTAATATTGAAAAAAAAGATGTCTTTTCGTAGTAGTAAGTTGCCCCATTGAGTAAAAGTACCTCGTCCCAGTCAAGTGGGCGAAACTCATAGTTAAAGCTCGGAGCTCTCAAAATTGTTAAGTGGAATTACCTGGGGGACCAGCCTAATCGAAATGGGTATTTTGATTGTCAATAAAAAAGGAGTATTAGGGAGCTTATAGGGAGTTTAAGCAGCGACGGTTATGAGCGACACATGTCAACCGGAAGTGAACGTTAAATATGCCTTAAAACTACAAAAATTGCTCAAAACGTTCCAATGTAGCCTGCGTGCAAGCACTCCGGGGCACTCTGGCGGTGGGGCGTTACAAGGAAGTAGAGGTTGATACATACCACATCAGACATCTGACATCAGACGTCTGACATACCACATCAGACATCAGACATCAGACGTCTAACTTACCACATCAGACATTTGACATCAGATGTCTGACATACCTCATCAGATATCAGACATCAGACATCTGACATATCACATCAGTCGTCTGACATGCCACATCAGGCATCTGACATTTCACATCAGACATCTGGGATGAGACGTCTAACATACTTCCTCAGACATCGGACATCAGACATCTGACATACCACATCAGACATCCGACATTAGAGATCAGATGTTTGGTATGTCAGACATCTGATGTCAGATGTGTTATTTGGTATGTCAAAGATCAAAAGTTGGATGTCTGATTTCTGATGTCTGATGTGGTATGTCAGACGTCTGATGTCCGATATCTAATATGGAATGTCAGATGGCTTATGTCAGATGTCCGATGTTAGAGTTCTGATGCCTGATTTTTAATGTCTGATGTAGTTTTTTAGACGTCTGATCTCAGATTCTGATGTGGCTTGTTAGACGGCTGATGTCAGATGTCTGATGTAGTATTTTAAACATCTGATCTCAGCTGTCTGATGTGACATGTCAGACGTCTGAAGACGTTTTGTCTTTGTCGAGTGTTACGTAGTAAAATTGCGGTCATGTGTTGCGTGACCTCTACGTTTTTGGATTATTTAATGAATAATTAATTAGGGCATTTTTACATTTGAGCATAAGTCAGCAGGTTACTGAAATTATAAAATATGTTGAAAGGCTACTACTATTCGCCTGTTTAGTATTTTCTATAACCTTATGTGAAACGTTATTCAAGTTCCAAGTGAGTTGTTTTGATGAACTGAGTTTTTCCCAAGAGCTGGAGTGATGTGTTTAGTCAAGTGTGACGAAGGTCGATTTTCAAGTTCGTATTTACTAGTTGGCGGAGGCCGTAAGATTTCTAAAGTTCAAGTGAGAGTTTGTTATAATTGGCAGAGGCTGTTTAGTTTTACTTAAGTTCAAGTCAAATTTGTGTTGGCGGATGCTGTGTTTTAAAGTTCTGCAAAGACTATGTTCCTTTGGTATTAAACTTCCTTGTGTTAATCCGACATCCTGGCCTGCATGCTGATAGTCAGTAAATAATTATACTTAAAACATTCGAACTCGTAACATTGAGTTTTAGCCAATTCCATGCTCAACGTAATTGACTCCTTACCCATGCCTTACATATCGTTACAACAACAACAACAACAAATTTTATTGAAAATTGGATAAATATATAACTAATTACATTACTTTCCCAACCGCAAATAGGTTATGAACTAATCGAGGCGGGGAAAGCTGAAGACATATTACAAGTACAAGGTTTATCTATAGATGAACTAAATAACAGTAAAGACACTACTATACAATAAATGCAATAAACTAACGTAAAACAAGGCAAGCACAACGATTACGAAGACAGACTAAACTATGTAGGGAGCTTAAGCAAAGACGTTTTTGAGCGACGCGCGTCAACCGGAAGTGAGACCTTCCCACTATATATATGCCTTAACGCTAACAAATTTGTATTGCTAAGTTTCTTTTCTCTTATAAAGAGGATTTACCCGAGAGTTTGAACCAAACCACTCCCCAATGATGCAAAAAGTCCACTACCTGTTGACGTCCGTCGCTCAAAAACGCTGCTGCTTAAGCTCCCTAATAACTTAATAAGACGGTAGGCTTCGACCTGGGGGGTACCCTGCTATGAAAAGGACGGGGTTGCTTGTCGGAAAATTTCGGCAACACACCTAAAAGGTACCAGAATCTTGTTTTATGGGCGTGTCCCAAATTCATTTCCACCTCTAAGAGGTACCAATTCAACAACAACAAATTTTATAACTGGCACTGCGAATTGTAATAGTAGAAAACATAACTTTCGAACAGTTTCTTCCCAAGCACTTTTTGAAAGTATTGTCACAAATCTTACCGAGGCAACTCTGGCAGTAGCCTGTGTACAGACGTCCCCCTCCCCCTGAGGGAGGGGGAACGTCTGTACACGGGCTACTCTGGTAGCAGTTATTTTCGGTTTTAGCACCCTAAGCGGTACCAATCCACAAATTTAAGCCCCTAAAAGGTACAACGAGCACCCCCGTCACTTTTATAGGGGAGTATCCCCCGGGACTTCGACATAATCACAGAGATACCAGCCTCTAGAGATCTAAAATTTGAAGACTCTCTTTTCTTCACTACCCCCCCCCCCCGAATTTTCAACGCCCCCCCTTCCCCGACAAATTAACCCAGCCCCCAATAGGAATCACTAAGGACATAAAATGAAGTCTTACATGAAGTACCTACTATCAAAAATCGAAATCATCGTTTTAATGCCAGAAATAATCTTTGTCACTGGCTAAATACGTGCAAAAATACCCCAGAAACCGTATTGCGAATGGGAAAAATTCACGTTTTGAGCTAAAAATGAGCTAAATTTCAAACCTAGAAACAGAAAAGCTCAAAAGATGATTTTATCCTGTAGATATGGTGATCCGTACAGGTGAGCGGGAGATCGGTGCCGTATCCGGGAGAGTTGGCGTGTGTAATAATCATCCTCTGACCGCATTACATGAGTAATCAGTACATGAGACTGTTATGCCTTTTTTGAAGCCTGATGAAAAAAAAAATAGGGAATTCTTCTTTTCACTGTTTGTTTTGTTTGACTTGTTACTCACTGCCAGTAACCTCATATTTGACTTGGGTCTAAGTGTTTAGACCCAAATCAAATTTAGAAGGATTGTAGGAAGTCATCTGAGCACAACTGGGCTTGAATATCTCAGAGACAATTAAATTTTGCCCCAAAATGCTAGTTTTTGGCAAGTAGGCCTCTTGGATATTGCTCTTTTCAGAATATCCTGACAAATCCCATAATTTCACAAATTGACACCTATATGATTTCTAACTATTCCTCCGCAATTACAATTAATTCCAGATCCACGACGCCGAAGTTTACGCTCCCTAACGTCTTGTTGTTATTATTATTATTATTTTATTATTATTATTATTATTATTCATATCGCCCTTTACATTTTGTACATTCCTTTTTAACTGCAATATGTTCTACAAATCTAAAGCAGTAGCCACATGCAGTCACAGGGTGCCTTTTATTTTTTCTCATTTTGAGCCTGGATACAGTCCTTAAGAATAAGCTTCAAGAAAAATCTTCCACATTTGACAATATAGCGTGTCAGCTAAATAAACACCATTCAGTTTGAAAGAGTTTTTAGCGAAGTTTTTACTGCCGTCTTCGTCGTCGTTGCACGTGCGCTCCCTATCTGCTCCCTATTTTTGGCTTTGGTGAAAGACTATTTTGGCCTGACTATAGGTTCTTTGGGATGAGGTTATGTTGGTAGGTGTCACTTTGAGGCTGAGGGTTTTAATAATAATAATAATAGTGGAATTTATATAGCGCTTATACATCGCTGTTCTAAGCGCTTTACTATGTAAAAAAGGACATAAGAATATCATTAAGCACAAGGTTACATATAACCCTACTGTACATATTGGGAACTGAATGTTTGGCTTTTTAGCATACATATATTTTGGTTATGAAGCAGTTTGGTCTGGTTAACCCGATGCGATGTCATAGCTTTTAATTGGGATAAGAAGTGTAAATAAATGAGTCGATAAAGGCAAAATAATTAACTTAGGCATTAGTGTAGAGTGGGCCTGGAATCGCGGCGTTAAGTTACAGGGTCCCGACATTCAACTGAACCTGGTCTGGTACTTGGTAAGGAATTTTAGACTATTAGCGGTGAACAGTGGAAAGTACCCCCCTCCTAACCCCACCCCTCCCTCCCTGGGGAATTGTAAATGGGTGGTAACTTGAAGGAGTCAACTTCCGTTTCCGCGTACATCCTTCGAGCCTGTGAGTTAGAGAAACCGTAGTAGGTGGGTCTTTCATAGAAAACATTGATTTGCATTACAGAGAACAAATGTTTGTTTTTAAAAAGACTTCATTTGATGTCGGGCAAAAGAATCGTAGATTCAACTAAAACGACATTTGAGATGGTAAAAAGGGATGTTTTATTTTAAATTTTGTCTCAATGTTTAAACTGCCGCTCTGTGTGCGTATGGAGCGAAATTTAGAGCAATAAAATTGCGAAGATGGCAAAGAGTCTGTAAGTCTGTAATGACGAAAACGGAAGCGGAAGTTTGTGGTAACGGGAATTTATCCCAGTCAAACCTCGGTAATTTTTGCCAGGAATTAACCTGTCGTCAGTAGTTCTGGGTGGCCGTAATAGCGAGGTGTCCGCGCAAGGTAAGAGCTGACTGCATATTTTGTTATTCTTTTGTAGAACGCCCATGGATGTGGGACGTCAAGTACAACATCCCGGACTGCCACGGAAGAATATGGTCACCGTCTTGAAGGACCTTTAAACACAACTTTCAAGTGCTATATAATAGGCCCTGCATTTATTTGCTCGCTTGGCGTCNGGTAACTTGAAGGAGTCAACTTCCGTTTCCGCGTACATCCTTCGAGCCTGTGAGTTAGAGAAACCGTAGTAGGTGGGTCTTTCATAGAAAACATTGATTTGCATTACAGAGAACAAATGTTTGTTTTTAAAAAGACTTCATTTGATGTCGGGCAAAAGAATCGTAGATTCAACTAAAACGACATTTGAGATGGTAAAAAGGGATGTTTTATTTTAAATTTTGTCTCAATGTTTAAACTGCCGCTCTGTGTGCGTATGGAGCGAAATTTAGAGCAATAAAATTGCGAAGATGGCAAAGAGTCTGTAAGTCTGTAATGACGAAAACGGAAGCGGAAGTTTGTGGTAACGGGAATTTATCCAAGTCAAACCTCGGTAATTTTTGCCAGGAATTAACCTGTCGTCAGTAGTTCTGGGTGGCCGTAATAGCGAGGTGTCCGCGCAAGGTAAGAGCTGACTGCATATTTTGTTATTCTTTTGTAGAACGCCCATGGATGTGGGACGTCAAGTACAACATCCCGGACTGCCACGGAAGAATATGGTCACCGTCTTGAAGGACCTTTAAACACAACTTTCAAGTGCTATATAATAGGCCCTGCATTTATTTGCTCGCTTGGCGTCAAGATGTCTCTTGTCAGTTTGGAAAATATGCTTCCACTCCAGTTGAAAACGCTAAGCATTCGATCGAGTGGCTTAAAACTTTTCTTCACATGCTTCGAGTCTAACTGCAAACAACATTGATCGCTTGGCCCAGAATTCTCACGGCTTACGTGGTATCTGGCGAAAATAGTATATGTTAATAAATTTTAGGTATTCTGTACAGTTTTTTCTGGGTAGTTATTTAGCCTTGTTCCCGGTCCCTGCTTATGCCTGGGGAAAAGCGATGAGGCTTACACGGAATGCTGGTATTAAGGAAGGATTCGATACAACACGCTCTCGTATTATCCGCCCAAGGTGCGGCTGTTAATTATTTCTCCGACTCTAGCTGTTCAATTAACGCCACATTGCTCGAGTCACTTACGCCACAAATGCACTTGATCAACGTCATTCACAGCTTATATTGTTTGTTTTTGTATCTATATTGCCAATAATAGTCGAGTTCAATACCTTCTTTTTTGGCCGAAATATTGGAAAATCTTAGTAATAATTGCCGATCTGCAATAAACGCTCTGCCGTTCGATGAACTTCGGGTTTTGTGCTTTTAACTTAACAAACGTTTGTATTCGGTTTATTCAACATTACTACAGTAATACAAACACTTTTATGCATACATGTGCAAGCAACAAAAACAATATCATTAACAACCATGCATGTAACAAATGATTCTTTAAATTATATTTACAGCTATTTTTGTTACGATCTATGTTGGATATATTTAAGTAGAGGGCTATTTTGGAACACTAGTGATACACTAAATGTAGTAACAAAAAAATATGGCAATAATTCACGAACATAATATTCTCTTTAAATAAATAAGTGATGTCTGCGATCAATTCATCTTTAGGATAAAAACGCAGATCCAATACAATATTTTCATTTAAATGCTAAGACAATTGCTTAAAGCTGAAACTTCCAAGAACACACTGTTCAAAAGGAAACCTTGTTGCAAATTTTAGCTCATTAGCACTGTGCTCATCATTCTCTAAAAATAATAAAGCTAGTAATATCGTACTCAGAACAACATTCAAAAAGAAGTGTAAACAACTGATTAAATAGAACTTGTTACCGGATTTGACACAGGAGGATGGCGACTGAATACTAATAAATGAGTTAGGGTTAGTAGATCTTATTGCTGAGCTCTTTTCATTCCTTTGCCCGACAAAGTTAGAAAAAAATCTCATAACAGAGAGTGGTGGTAACCAATTGCAAGAAATCATCGTGTTAATTATGCGGCCCTTAAAGAAGTTGCCTGGCCTGCTCGGTGCATTGCCCGAAAGGAATTAGGGGGAAACATGGATTAAAAGATTTAAGAGCAGGCGAATGTTCCAAATTAAGACATTTTGGTCCAACTTCGTAATTGTTTGCATTTTGTCTCATCTGCATGTGACTTATATGTACAGAAAAAAGCACCACACCGTAAATACAATTTAGCTTCAAAACTACAATTGCCCGATTAGGTAATCTAGAATCTTTTCACGTTTTTTATATGATATATTTAAGGAAATATCAGCCATGACAATTTGCAGCATTGCTAGGTGGCAAAAGCGTCATGACGAGCTACATAAAATGTGACGTTTTTCAGGCAGCTTTGCAAAGGAGGTATTCAATACAGGAGACAGAAATCAGTACAGAAATAACTAAATATAGTGCAGCTCTTCCCTGTCAATATTCGAAGTAGACATTTTTACGGCAGGGACCAAATAGAGGTCTGTAAGTAAAAGACAACCACCAGGTGGGAAAAAGTCGTGCAATTTAGTGTCATAAGCTCATGGCTAAACTTAGTCGTCTGTACTTTGATTCGGAAATAGCAAAAAGTCGTCAACTGGTGTTTTTGAACATTTAGTTGACTTTCCTTATTGATTTGAGATTTCGTCGTCAAAATTAGATGCGCAAGTGATTCGTGCTCGCCCATACTATTGCAAAGTACTATTTTATTAAGTAAATAAGTTTGAAACTAGGAGACTTACAGTTAATATCAGACGACGTCGCAGGTCGCGGAACAAATATACAAATATTAGATGTGGGTGGAATAATAACTATATAATAAGATGCATGGGGAATATCTGCATCCTGAAAGTTCAGGTGTTCACAAACTCAAAACACTTTAAGACACTTGCTTCCACAGGTAAGTAAGGTTTTAAAAGTTTTTTCTTGACAAATTCTTGATGATTTTCTTAGAGCTGCAGGGGGCTGAAACTTGTCAGTTGTAGTATCAAAGACAGTAGAAATGCCGTATAATGACCGTATTTCCCATTATTGTAATCACTTCTCTTTCTTGAGATTGATCTGTTACGGTTAGTCGAGTTATTAACTCCGAGCCCCCAAAAAAGGTTTTTGTCTTTTATGAAAACTGAGGGGTGCATTGTAAGCAGAGTTTTGGAAAGCAGTAGATAAATTTTTGGAAAAATTTAATTGGCAAAAATGAGCAATCTTTGACAGCAGAGACGTAAAATAATGTTATACAATACAAACTAAACATGTAGGCAGCCTGTGAAGCTGGCGGAATTGTTTCTCGCGTGGGTGAGTTGTTGCGGCAAAGCCGCGAAAAACGAGCGCCGTCTCCTCCCGATTCTCCACACAGCTTATATAAGCTCCTCTGCCAAAACTTGGTTTGCGCTAAAGACCCCGCCGGCTGCACAGCCCGAACATGTAGGGGAAACTTTTATTTGAATTGCAAACATCTGAACCAGCGAGATTTGTAGTACATAGTCCAACATGGTGTCTGAAAGGAGCGATTACCAAAAGTCAGACTGAACTAGCCTGCTGGACCGGTCATTTTGAAAATGATTCAGGCTTATAGGTGTCGCCTGGCTGTACGTGAAGAAATAAGTTAAAATAAATATATAAATAACGAAGCTTCACCACTGCTGATGGAAATCAAAATAAGAAATAGGAAAGAAAAAAAAGACCGTTCAGGCTGGACAGCCCTGACTAACAGTGAAATTCTCTCTACGATGCAACTCTGATCCCGCCGGCCACTTCTGACAAATGGAAACTGCCTCCAGATATAATGGTTTGTTATTTGGGATTTTATTTTCTCCACTTTAATAAATGATTACATCAATTAATAATATAATCGTATCTGTAGTGTAATGGACAGGCAACTTAATCCATCTGTCTAGTTAACAAGTAATAAAACGAGCACGAGATTTCTGTCGGCTGATCTTGTGAGCAGTGGTGAAGCTCCGTTTTTTATTTTATTTATTTTAATTTATTTCTTCACGTACAGCCAAGCGATACCTGTATGGGTTAAAATATTCTCGGTGTTTCGTCCAGAACAACCTAAGCGATACCTAAATTTGTAATTTAAAGACCAAAACTAAGTAAGGACAATTTCACATTGGAGTTCTTCTTGGCATTTCTCTTGTTTTGTATTTAGTATTTGGTATATTACTACATGTGGCTTTTCTCCACTCGCTGTCTTTGAGCTGATTAGATATATAGCTTGTACCTAAGCCAATCAAAACGCGGGATTTTCAAGAGAAGACTCGTAGAATGCCTGTATATTTTTACCATTTAAGATGAGTTTCCCTTTTATTTTTAAACTGTTTCCCTCTTTAATCCATGTATTCATATTGCCTCGATAGGTCATCTTCTGCTGAGCTTCTTACAGAGGGTTAAGATCGTACGGTTGTGAATTGCTTGCAGCAGGACTAAGCAGCATGGATTCTAGTGTCTGTATTGTTATATTTATAGTTCTCAGCTTTGAATTAGCCATTGGAGGTTGGTCATATATCTCTTTTTACGTGATCTAGTCGGATGCTCTAACCATTGAGCTGCTGTAGACTCTATGGCGAGCAAGAGTGAAATGTGGGTCTTTGACTAGAACTGTATCACCCAGTCACATAGTCAAACCAGGACAAGCACGTATGACTCATACCTGCATCACCCAGTCACATTTGGCATATCGTAGATCTAGTAAAAGACCTACATTTCACCCTTGCTCGCCATAGAGTCTCCAGTAGCTCAGTAGTTAGAGCATCCTACTAGATCACAGAGGATCCTGGGTTCGAATCCCATCTGTGGCTTGGATTTTTTCCGCGTTTCTATTTGATACAAAAACGTATCATGATGTTCTACTTCTACTAAAACTTGTTTATTTATAGTTACTTTAAAGTGTTGTACTTCTAAATGAGACAATATCAATATTAGTGAGATTAACAGGTTAAAGCCTCCGATAAAACCGGAAAGTGAACAACAAAAACAATTCCAAAAACCAATTGAAAGTATAAAAACAGACAATTAGCAATGCTATTTTTAATTTAATTAACGAACAAAATATAAAGAGCTGATTGCAGAACGTGGTAATTAAGGGCTCATAAAATAACAGGTTCGAACTAGTATGAATCACTGATATTTCACGAAAGAAACGAATCATAGAAACTGATTTGATATTCATTTCTTTTTTTTTAGCAGGTAAAAATTGGGGATATGAGAAGACAGGTATTAGGTACTTACATACTTAGCGATTTTTCGAAATATTTTAATGGGAGGGCCTTTTCATGATCTAAATGACAAATTTATTCACTTTTCACATTAGGGGTGGCGTTGCGAAATGTCAGCTGTTTTTTCAGGATATTGGTCGTATTTTAAAACAAGCAAACTTCGGTTAACTGACAGGATTAAAGTTCACCATCTTTCAAGAACCTCACTCCTGCAGGGTATTAGGTAGCATTTGGAAGTACCGGATGCAGGGGTTTAGCTGGTGGACCTGCACAGTTTGTGCCACAGGCGCTACCTTAAATACCAGGGGATGAACTTCTTACAGTGGTCCGGGGCGTGCTCCTCTTCGCCGCCCCCCCCCCCCCCCCCAAAAAAAAAAAAAAAGTTTTTTTTAATACCCGTTCCCCTTTGTTTCTTTTTCTCCTCTAATTTATTAAATGAGGAAAAAAGAGAGAAATGTTTTTTTTTTACAAACATTTTTATCACAAAAAAAATAATTTCTTTTT